TTTCTTCTATGACGTCAAACGACGACAGAGAGGTCATACACATATAATGATAAGGGGGCATAACTCCGTTATGCGTAACACTAGGTCCACGTAACTCAGATCACTTGGAGAGAATTTGTTGTGGATACGGACGATAAATTTTCGTTATTTTATGTTCATGGTGAACCAAACTATCCCAATTCAAAGTTCCCCAATGTGAGCGGATGCAGTTTGGTAGTTTCACAATTTACAAGAAAAATGACAACGTATTACATGTGAAAGCAGGTAATAGCGATTTGGATGGCCCTATCCGATATATAAGTTAGTTCTTAGATTCCCATATTGTCCTGTTTGTGTAGATGTATTTTGACTAATTTTGCATCGTTATTACCAGAGTACTAGCCATATCTTCAAATGTAATGAAATTGCTGAAAATAATACACCATTTTAGTTGACGTCATTGCTTGTTTTATGCATTTTGCGACGTCGGAAAAAGACGACACTGGTATATGCTGTTTAGTACATATCTCACCTAATTTCCTTTAATTGTGTGAAAGGTCTCGGCTTCTATGTCAGAATTTAAGACTCTTTAGACAAAACATAAAATGACTGATTTTTCCATTTAAATAGTGTCCTGAATATATCTGGCATTATATTTTGTGCGCTTTGAGCATCCTTATGCACGGATATATGGTACAAATACTTTAGTATGCCATTATGTTTAAGAGATTAAGATACAAAACATGCAGGAGAGAGGATTCGGGTGATCCTGGAACAGTCAGGTTGGTAAGGCTCATCAGCCTTCTGCATTACCCAGAGTGTCATAAGGACTGTGCTCCTGGTGCAGAACCCAGGGACTCTCCTGATCTACGCCAAGAGATCAGGAGGTACCAAACCAAGGGCACCTAGAACAATGGGGAAGGGGCGGTGGGGTAGCCTAGTGGTTAAAGCGTTGGCTCGTCACGCCCAAGACCCGGGTTCGATTCCCCACATGGGTACAATGTGTGAAGCCCATTTCTGGTGTCCCCTGCCGTGATGTTGCTGGAATATTGCTAAAAGCGTCGTAAAACTAAAACTCAGTAGAACAATGGGGAGTCTGACGACAGTGTACTTCTGATGCAAGCGAGACATTTCAAAGCCGAGGTCCGCATGCTTAGCACGGTTTTCCTGAATCTTGTCAATCACATTGTTGTCAACAGGGACAAACAAATTCAATGATTACTGCCTAAATCATATGTATGATTGTACTACAGGCTTGTGGTCTTTTCAGTGCGGGAATATAATGAACAGATCGTAGAGACACATGTTTCCTTAAAAGGAGTAAGCAAATTGTAATCAAGCCACCGTCGCCGAAATACCATAGTTGTGTGTGTGACGTTAAAAAGCATATACCAACAACGTAACCAATCGTTTTACACAAGGAAGTTGTTTATTTAAATCGAGCAGACCACGTGTACCACTCCCCTATCTATATATAATCAGCTGACGGCCACCGTTCAATAGCAAGATATGGACATCGATGTTTGACAGGTAGGAGGTTTCTGCATTTTGAACCGGCTTTTAAGTACAATATGAACGGTAATGAATAACAATGTCATATGTGCATCTTCATGTGCAAGACTTGTAATTGGTCCGGAGTTGCTATATGTTTGAAATACAGATGAGGTATTAACAAATAGCATAGGCTCAATGAAAGAGCAACATATCGAAAACACCAACTTGACAGACATAACAGGAATTGCGTTTTTCGCACCTTTACCATCTTGGATCTTGGAGTCGTGCCAGGGAAACGGATACAGGCAGTGGGTCGTAAAAAAGACAGTTAAATCCATACAATTGTATCCTCAGTGTCTAATACCAAGGTAGTCTGTCATGCAGACCGTGAAGCAAAGGATGTTGCATGTAATATTTGGGATTACACTCTCTCAGTTAAGTACACATTCTAAAGTACTGTCGGAAATGCTAGAAAAATGCTTTTTAGCCTTAATATCTTTATAAAGGTGATAAATGTACTATGTTGTCAATATATCAACTCGCCTATAGTGTACCTAATTTTTATTTCAATCGATTTAACATTCCCATGCATTTAAAGGGCAGTTTACAGGAGAGAATTTGGTACCAAAACAGCAACTTCAGATTTTTTCAGAGTTCAACAACAGAAATCTGAAATAGTCTTTACGTTTATGCTAATAATACATGTGGTGTAAAAATATGAATTAACGTATTTCCTAAACAAATAAATGTTGAATGTTTGTGTTACTTTACTTAATTGTCGTTTCTTTATTGAAGAAATATTAATATAAATGTTAAGTCTTGATAAATAAGTTCCCGTCATGCATGCACATCTTTAGCACAGCGTCCACTATGGCCAACGATTTGCAGTCGATTGTTGCAAAGGTTTATAAGTTTTTCTGCTTGAAAAATACAGAGGTAAACCTTTCATTAGTTTAGAAAGGGTTTATTACAGAACTTGTAGAGCTGTTGGTATGTCTTACCAACAAGTTTACAATATTGTAAACAAATCAGACAAGACAGGGACCGTCTCAAAAGCAAAACCGGGACGTAAAACCATCCTTGACAACTTTGACAAGGGAGTGCTTAGACGGGCGGTCTACAAACTTTATGAGAAGAAGAATATATATAATCTAAAGAAGCTACACCAGTGACTTCGTTAAATCTTTGGCCAATGTTCACAACTAGAATAAACTGACCGAATTAAACCATATTTTTTCACTGCAATATACTGTTGACATACAAAACATTTATTAAAACGTTGCACATTTCTACAATCAATCGATAAGATAGCACATGTGATAGGATTCTTTCCAATGTACAGTAATTCGTATGTTTATTTCAAAACAAACACACATACACAAATGATCCCTTACATAACCAATACGTATACTATACGTACACATATTCAACATTTTGCAGAAAACATCTATTGAGATGACCCCTCGCCCGAGCGTGTGCTCAGGTGTCAATTTCACCTGTCGATACCGTCGATGCTCATGACGTAACACAGGCAGTTAATGTTTGTATCAAATAACGTCCCACTACCCCTTATTTTTCTAAGTTTTTGGCATTTTCTTCAGTTAAGACACATTTTAGAGCATGTCTCCAAATTTATTCCCTCGGACTACATTAGGTAGATGTTTCTTGAAGTGATATTTGTTATTTAAGTAACTGTAATACCTCTGAATTTTAAATATAAGTCAAAAAGCATTTTTCTAGCATTTCCGACAGTACTTAAGTACTTTTGTTGGGTTGACTAATCCAATCCCACACCCTCAGAGCCAGCATACGAAGTCAGTCGTCTAACCCAGTCAGCCACCGCGACATGGCATCGTGAATTCATTCCCGAAATAGATTGTAGACACGACGTTGCCAGGAAACAATATGACCCTTATTCAGTAATGCATGTACGTATATGTCTGGATTGTCTGGTCCAGACTCGATTATTTACAGACCGCCGCCATATAGCTAGAATATTGCTGAGTGCGGCGTAAAACTAAACTCACTCACTCACTTAACATGCAAAACTTCGGTGTCGTTTGCTAATTTGCTGTCATGGCTGGTCAGTGGACTCCATGATACAGCTCACAGCTCACGTGTTTATGCTGTTAGTGCTTGTACATGGTGTCTATCATTTTATGTTGTAAATCTTACATGACATAATATGATGTACCATGATATGATGTACCATAATATGATGTACCATAATATGACGCCTACTGTTAAACATTGCATAGCGATTGATTGCGTGATTGATTGATGTCCATAGCCGCACTTAGCAATATTCCAGCCATATGTCGTCGGTCTATGATTATTGAGTTGGACCAGACAATGCAGTGATCAACATCATGACCATCGTTCTAAGCAATTTGGATACGATGAGATGTGTCAACCAAGTCAGCGGGCCTGACCGCCCGAATCCGTTAGTTGCCTCTTACGACAAGCATGGGTTGCGGAAGACTTCACGGGTACATTTTTATCTTAAATGGTTAAATGATTTCAGGTTAGATCAACATGCCAAAATAGAAATAATTAGAATTCCCTTACTCTATATGTCAAAGTACTTTCAAGTATGTCGATTTGAAAACTGAAATAGATGTGTGGGTTGGGGGAAATCATCGTTATATAATAAAATATTATTAATATTGTCTTAAATTCACTGGGTTTTTATTGTAGTAAACGTTAACTACTTGAAATACATTTATCAGTTTGAAGCAGACATACATCTTTACCACAATATGTTGGGGTTTTTTTTAAATTGTGCACAAAAAATAGAATATGTAAAAGAGTTGCAATGGGGTTTTTTTTAATGATGTATATTCGTTTTGTATTAAGCAGTTATGAAATACTATTTGACTTTCTTCACTCAGTATTCAGAATTGTTAGACCGTTCAGTCTCAAACATTCTAAAACTTTCGTGCAACAGAAAATGATAATTTGTAATACTTTCCATTGAGGCTTTGTCCTAAAACATTTGTAAAATAAAGCCTAGCGGATCTAGAGTTGCCTAAAATAGCCATTTGCAATGCTTTCCGACAGCCTACCAACATCACAACCGTGTTCGGGAAATATTTTAACACGTTTAGTGATATCACTGCCATGCTTAACCACATGTTCCCTTCGACTGATGTCGGCCAACGCAATTTGAACTTATCTACCTCCCTGTGGGTTAGATTGTAAGAAATATTGACAAGAACAAATCCACACACAGAGAGACATGCACACACACACGCACGCACATACATAGATAACACCAAGAAGTGGCCTCAAACAGTGAATAATATAGAGAATGGCTAAAAGAACTCAACTATTTCTATTACCTATATGTAATTAAACAAGGAAAAATACACCAGTTTTGACAAGCAGTAAGCATGAATATCGTTTAAAGTGTGGCTGGTCTCACTTTGAAATGACAAAAACTTCATTTTACACAACATATCTGTACACTAAGTCTTTTCGTTTGTGTTTATATTTTCAGCAAGTGTTCGGCTCAGGCGCCAGCCATTCTTCACAATTGAAATGTCTCGTAAAGACAGTAAAGACACTAACCCAGAAACCACAGGCGATGATATTGCCATCATTGGTATTGGTTGTCGCTTCCCTGGTGCTTCCTGTCTGAGAGATTTCTGGAAGGTCCTGGTGAATGGAGAAAACCACGTGGTTGAAATCGATGATGAGCGGTGGAGTCAGGATATCTACTATGACAAAGACCCACGCACACCTGGCAAGACATATGCACCAAGAGCAGGTTTCATTAAGAAGTATGTTCAGATTTCATCACTGAACAAAACCGTGGAAATATGTATACCCAGTAAATTTGTGAAAGCATTTACGTCAATCTTTCCAAAAATAGATGTTCATGGAGATAAAGCATACATATCCAAGTAAAACGTAACGAAATATATTTCTCAAACAGTGATGCTTCGAAACATAAGTGCATTTTTCTTTGCAGTTATGCTCATTTCGATTTTAAAATGTTTGGGATCAATGAGCACGAAGCTGCCCTGATGGACCCCCAGCAGCGCCAGGTGTTGGAGTGCACGTACATGGCGCTGGAGGACGCCGGCATCACCAGACAACAAATAGCAGGACAGGAAGTGGGGGTCTACATAGGTTGCATGAACAATGACTTCACCCAGATGTCCAACAAACACCCATATCTTGTCGACAACTACTCCGTGACAGGCACAGCAGTCAGCGTTGTATCCAACAGAGTGTCCTACATCTTTGATCTCAGAGGACCATCTATGACCATAGACACTGCCTGTTCATCATCTGTTGTGGCCTTACATCAAGCCGGATTAGCTATGAAAGCAGGTACGAGTCTCTAGAGATTTGTCTGAACATGGTTAAAATGAAAAGCCAGAAACGTGACTCCAGAATACGTAAGTAATGCTTTAACGCGGATTTTCTTTATTTGTAAACAAAATCTATCCGTCTTATTGAAATGTGCTGTACAGCTTTTGCCTGGATAGAATGCATCACGTCATAATGTTTGATTGCCATCGATTGCTTTTCATTTTGCAAATGACCTAATTGAGTAGTGGCCACAAGATGTAACAAGGGTTAATATCGAATGTGTGTTCATGTTCACAGTTCAATCTTCCGCTGGTCTTTTACAGGTGACTGCTCTATGGCGATATGTGGAGGAGTGAATCTTCTTCTCAATGGAGGAGTTTTTGTACCTCTCAGCAAAGCTCAGATGTTATCTCCTACAGGACAATGCCATACGTTCTCTGCCAATGCAGATGGCTACACGAGAGGAGAAGGATGTGGTATAGTCATTATCAAGCCGCTCAAGCAGGTGAACCATTGAGAACAGTTTCTGTGACAAATTAAGGTGAAATATACAATGTGTATATTTAATTGACATGTACATATGCGTGTGGGAGTATCTTCCTAAGTGAATGTAAGATAATTTGAGAGTGTTGGAAACTACACTGAAACGTTGCTCCATCCTTATTTGCTTATCATTAGTTACTTGTCCGACTTCCAGACGTCTAAATATCATGCAAACATTCCTTTATTTGTATTTCCATATTAGTTCAGGTACTAAAATGTTCCTTATTTTCTTATTTTTCTTTTATTAAAATGCATACTTTCAGGCAATGAAAGATGGCGACAACATATGGGGAACGATAGCTACCGGTCTAAATCAAGATGGACATGTAGCCAAACCTCTCACAGCACCATCTGGCGAGCAACAAGCACAACTGATCCAGGATGTGTATTCCAAACATGCCATCGATACAACATCCATAGACTATATCGAAGCACATGGTAAATTATTTGAAATGTTCAGTCTATAAATTCCGAGTGTATGAAATTATTCCTCCTTTCTCCTCCAATGTAATCATAATATCCTATTTTTCTTTGAAAAGGTACCGGCACAAAAATCGGTGATCCAGTGGAAGTCAATGCTTTCGGGCATTTCTTCCTGAAGCAACAACAGTCAAAAAGACGATACATTGGTTCTGTGAAGACCAACATCGGCCATCTGGAATCAGCAGCAGGAGTGGCCGGACTCATCAAGGTCCTGCTGATGATGAAACACAGCACCATCGTGCCATCCCTACACTTTGACAAGCCAAATGAAGCAATAGACTTTGACAGGTTTCAGTTTGTAGTACCAACAGAACCAGTCCCATGGTTACCTGATCAAAAAGTAGCATGTCTTAATTCATTTGGGTTTGGGGGTGCTAATAGTCATGCCATAGTTAAAAATAGTTCAAACGGGCAAACTAAGAGCACATATTCTTGGACTAAACCTGTTGTCGTTTGCTTTTCTGGTTCTAATCACCAAACTCTTAAAAAGAGCATTGAACAGTTCCTCTCCATTGAAAAACGTGACTATGACGTTCATGCTTTGTCATATACATCATGTGTCAGAAGAGAGCATTTCCAGTGCAGACAGATGTTCGTTGTAAGTGACATGTTGAGTCTTGAGGATCAGCTAACAGACTTCATGAAGACAGACAGCAGAGAAGAACCAAAGAAGGGGCACTTGCGGCCACTTTTTGTTTTCTGTGGCATGGGCACTGCATGGAAAGGGATGGGTATAGATTTAATGGAACAAAACAAAGGGTTTCAGGAAACCATGGAAGCTATTGACACATCTCTGAAACGCTTTGTCGGATGGTCTCTCACCCAAAGACTGAGAGAAGATGATGTCTCAGATCCTGTCCTTGGTCCAATTGCTATCTTTGCTTGCCAGGTGGCTCTCGCTCACCTGTGGAAGTCCTGGGGTGTAATGCCCGCAGCTGTTGTAGGTCAGTCAGTGGGGGAGGTGGCTGCAGCACATGTTGCTGGGATTCTGTCATTAGATGAAGCTGTGAGGGTTATATACCACAGGACAAACATCCTCTCCAGAGCTACCGGGGGTAAGATGCTTTTGGTTAAGAATATGGACCCCCAAAAAGTGGAACATCACTGTGACATGTATGAGGGCAAAATCAGTGTGGGTCTTTACTACAGTCCAAATGCATGTACAGTGAGTGGCGATGCTTCTGCAGTTGATGAGCTTAAAGTTAAGCTATCAAATATCGATAGAGACATAAAACTTATAGACCTGCAAGTGACAACTGCCTTTCATAGTCATCACATGGATTCATGCAAAGAACAAATTGATGATGCTTTACAAAATCTGAAGACACAGCACCCAACAGTTCCATTCATTTCAACCATTGATTCAAACTATACAGTGGAGGATTTGAGAGCAACAACATACTGGTCTAAGAACGCCAGAGAACCAGTCAAATTCGGGGCTGGTATAAAGGCTGCCATAAAAGAAAATGCCCACAATGTCTTCATAGAGATCGGACCACGCCCAGTTCTGAAAGCACATATTGGAGATATCTTACAAGGCACTCATCAGACTGCAGAAATTGTGACATCAATGACAACAAATTCGAAATATGAAGATCTTTTGAAATCCCTGGGTGAACTTCATGCATGGAATTGCAACATATGTTGGGATCAACTGTGTGAAATGTGCGGACATACCACCCCTGAACCAACACACGCCTTCGAACACAAACATGTCATGGCAATCCCAAATGAAACAGAGGGAAGTGCTCACGGAGCATCTCTCTCTATGCATCATCTGTTTTTGACCCAAGCGGCGAGTGACACAAGACTGAAGATGCACATTGATCCCTCAATCTTTGCTTCAATCTATGAGCATAAAATCAAGGATGTTATCGTTATTCCAGGAGCAACCTACGCAGAGACTGGATTTGGAATCACCAACCTGCTGAAGCTTTCAGATCCCTACGCATCAACTGTGTCAGTTGTGTTTCAAAATCCATACATTTTGAAGAAGGCTTTCCCGGCTGATTTGTCTGTAGACGTTACACACAATGACAACTACACAAACTTCCAAGTGAAAGGAAATGGTATTACGTATGCACAAGGAAAAATAGATCACAGAAGAGAGCAACCCACAGAGGAGAGACTAGACATCGAGCGTATTTTGAAACGATGCACAGGAAAGGTGAATAGGGAAGATATGTATCAGAAGCTTGCAAAACTTGGATTCAGCTATGGTGATAACTTTGCCACACTTGACTATGCATATAGTGGGCATGATGAAGCACTAGTCAAAATGGAAATCCCTCAGATGCTTAGAAAAGAAATGGAATCAACTTTTCTTCATCCAGCTATTCTTGATGGCATGCTTCAATCAGCCGCAGCGACATCCCTTGGAATAGATAATGAGTTCTTTCCTGTTCAATTAAGAGATGTCCACTTGTATCAAGCTTTAGAGGCAGAAATGTTCACCTTCGTCCAAAGCATGGAATCAACTGACCGTTACCATTCATTTCAAATGAAGCTTCTTTCCAAGAATGGAAGGGTTCTTGTTGAGGTAGGACTGTTCAAGATCAAATTCATAGGTACCGAAACCTGTGACTTTATGGTACAAACCTGGACAAGAATGGACGAGGTTTCCATAGAAGATGATGTCCTGAACACAAAAATTGCGGTATTCACAGATTCCAAAGTGTGTGCAAATGATGACACTCACATCATTATCAGCATGGATAAACTAACAACTGATTGGATCAAGAATGAACTTGAATCAGTTTTAGAAGGAGTATCAAAAGTATGCTTCCTGTTGGCCACAATTGATGTTTCAACAGACAATGGAGATGCTATCCAAGAAGAACTGATTAAGCGCTTCCTTGCACTACGGTTGATCGTTCTCTATCTTACTAACAAACAAGCTGAGACACCCTTGATAATCATGTCAGAAGCAACAAAAGCAGAGGCTGCAACTGATGCAGCGTCTGCTACAGCGTGTCTGAATGAGGCAATGGCAGCAGCGACAAGATGTATCATAAGAGAACACAGAACACTGACAATTCAACTAGTGGAAGTCGTTGTGGGTGCAAGTGGGGAATTGATTACCAAAATTAAATACATTCTGTCAAGACTTCATGCAATTCCTCCAGCCAAATACCCAGAAATACGGCTTCAAGAAGATGGTGTTTACACATCATTACTGCAAGTCATTTCTGAGGAAGCACCAAAGTACAGAATCAGCAGTATTCTCGACTCAGCTGATGCCCTCCTGTGTTCAGCAAATGACAGCGAGGTTATTGAACAATCGTTTGTCCAGGATATTGATTCACAGCAATATTTTGAGAACAGATCCATTGATGTCACTGTTGATTCAGCTGTACTACACAGACCATGCTTATACAGCATCACAGCTAATAACCAAAACTTCAGAGACATTCACATGCACCCTATCTTGTGTTTTGAGTTTGTTGGCAGGGTTGCATCTGGGAATGGTTCTGTGCAACCTCAACTTGTGGCTTTCTTCCCATTGCTGATTAAACCAACTGTTAAGATCCCCAAGAGCTGCATCATGAATATATCAAAGTTTCAGTGTTACCGGCCTGGTCTCATGATCAAGCTCTACTGTCTGTGGAATCTGAGCCGTCAAGTGAAAATGGAACGTGTAGCAATCCTGTTCTCTCCGGAAACTGAAGCTGCTTCCAAGGTTCTTTCTCACATGCTACAATGTAATGGAACCAAATCCACAGCACTCATCACACCAGAAGACCTGGCTGTAGATGAAAATTGCTCGCACGGGTCCTTAATCGCAACAGTGACGATATCTCCTGACATTCTCACAACACTTGTTTCAAAATGGTCTAGACTAAACAATGTAATCACACTGGAAACAATCAGCAATGACCGGACACTCCAATCCCTCCGTTTGAGTAAATCTCGTCCAAGAGTGTACAGCGTGCGTCCATTTGACATATTTGCTCCTTCTGCAATTCTTGAAAATGTGCAAAAGCTCTATGCTTGGATTGAGAAACATCAGAAGAAAATCCCAGAACTGTTCATGTCCCTCACAAGGGAAACCTGTCCAAAAATCGAAAATACACCCATCAGCATAACAGAGGCCATGCAGACAACATGCCTACATCTTTCTGAAGATGGACTGGACATGAAGGTAATGAAAACACAAGTCAATACTCTTTTCCACAGATGTGGTTCCTATATTGTTGTTGGTGGACTTACTGGACTTGGGTGGGAGTGCGTCTCATTCCTAGCTAATGGAGGAGCAGGATGTATAGTTATTCTCTCCAGACGGGAGTCTCCAAGTGATGAAAAACAAGAGGAGATACAATTGCTGGAACAGACTTTCGGTTGTGTGGTAACATTCATTCAAGCAGATGTATGTAATTTCAAGGCTTTGGAATCTGCTTTGGAAACACTCAAAGCCAAATTTTCTGGATATCCACTACGTGGCATTTTCTATGGTCCAGCAGTTATTGATGATAGTCCACTCATAGGCATGACAGAAGAGAAAATACGTAAAGTGGTCTCTCCAAAAGTAACTGGGGTGTGGAATATACATGTCCTCACTGCCCACTTAAGCTTGGACTACTTTGTCATGCATTCATCTGTCGTATCTGCACTTGGAAATGCTGGTCAATCCAATTACGGTGCAGGAAATGGCTTCATGGATGGACTAGCACATTTGCGGAGACGGTTTGAACAGAATGGTCAGACTATCAACTGGGGTGCACTGCATACAGGCATTTTAGAGCACAGTACAAAGTATGTACGGGATCGTTTGAGAGAGAAAGGGTTCATTTTGATTGAGAAGCAAGACATTAGCAACTGTCTAGAGCAGACGCTAATGCTGAACAAAGTGCAGATGTTTATAGTGAACGTTGACCGAAAGGAGATGGCTAAGCAGCTAACTCGAGACAAGGAGAAGGTTTTACTACTCCGATTGCATGACTACTTGGAGCATTTTTTAAATGAACAGAAAGACAGTTTTTGTGAACATTTGGATGTGAAAGAATTACGTTCATTAGATACAGAGGACAGGGTGAATTTCTTACAAAGCTATCTGAGGACACTTGTGTGCCAAAAGGCTTTGCTTGAAGAAAGTTCTTTTGAAGATGAGATTCCATTGGCACAACAAGGACTAGATTCAATGTACGCCATGGAGGTTGCTGGACAAATTCATGATGATACACAAGTAGAGATTACTGCAAGTGACATTCTTGTTAATTCAGTGTCTGCCTTAACAAGTATGATAAATGAACGTCTTTTCAGTGACAATGGTATACAGGAGCGCAGAGAAGAGTATGAACATGTTATCAGTCAAACTGATATCCAGGACTCTATTGAAAGGATTGTCCTAGAAGAGGAACAGCAAAGTCAGAACAAGTCTGGATTCATTTATACCCACGTAGTGCATCTCCCAGATGTTGCTGACGCTTCCTATGTGGAGAGATTTGCTACCGAATGTGTCTCTAAACACTCTATAGCAAGAAGGACCTTTGCGTTTTATGACGGTGATATCAAAAGAGAAGAAACCAGATCTAATGCCAGCTTTCAAACCGTCAATGAAACAAATGCCACTGAAATAGTGAGCAAAGCCCATGATTATTTGGATTTGGGAACGACAGGACCGATAAAGTTCATTTTTCTGTCTGACAGATCGGAGATGGTTCTTCTTTTTCACCGAGTTGCATTTGACCACAATGGGATGAAGCTACTTGTAGAAGAATTTAAAAGGTATGGAGACGCTTTTATGCACGGAAAATCACCGGAAGATGTCCATGCAAACCCTGAAAGAAATATTGCCGAGGAGATTCAACGTGTATTGGCACCACAATACGAAAACCTCAAGGCATTCTGGGAGAAAACATTGCCTGAGATACCATATGCCACACTTTCCATAAGCCCCAATACACACAGAGGAGGATATTGCAGCGGCATAGTCATTGGGACAAGAATGGACGATGCAATAAATGCTAGTTTGCGCCGATTCACCACATCACGGAACTCAACACCATTTGATTTCATGATCAGTGTGTATCAACTAATGGTGGCCTTTATTGCGAGTACCAATTCCCCATCAATCCTAGTCCCCGTAGACTTGCGTCAGTATGTATCCTCAATGGTCGGATGTGTTGGAAGATGTACAAACTACATCCCAGTCATAGCAAACACTCCCGATCTGGGGTCAACCACAGTGGAAATGTTCCTCAGTGAGAACCAGAAAAGACTTGAAGTGTACAAAAAACACGGCCTCTATCTCTATAAAAACCTGAAAGATTTGCTGTCCGAGGACAGTTCCAAACATATGCACACAAATCAGTTCATCTACGAATATCAAACACTGAAGGAGGATTTCAATGATAAGGAAGGGGAAAGTAACCTGACATTTGCCCCTGATGCAGAAACCTATGTATTTGTATACAACAAAGAGGACAATTCCAAATATTTAGAGCTGCATTTGAGGTCTGACATGTTTCCTATTCCCCGAGGTAGAGCAATCATGCAAAAATTCCTGCGCCTTGTATCTTATGCAGCAAATCATCCTGAATGGACGCTTCAATATCTGAAACAGAAAGTGGAGAAACCTAACGCGTCCAGAGTGTGCTCCCTGCAATAAAAGACATATACGTCTGCTATTCTCATCCCTTGACTTGTCCTGAAATCCCTTATTGTAACATCACAATTTGCTAGTGATTCACAAACTCCATATAGTCAGAATCAAACAAGCCACTCTGTCTGTGGCAGGGATTGCGTGTGACTATGGGAAGGGGTTTGTCGTGTATATCTGAAATGACATGACAACATGCATAAACGCATCACCTCTTAAATGCGTCACCAGCATTCTTGCTATTCATTTAATTGACTATGTTGATCAGTTCATGTATCATCAACTCGTATCTATAACGTGTGCATCTGTACATGTGTACACGAGCGTTCGTTCGTGCGTGTGTGAGTGTATAAATGCGCATTTGTATCTGTCTATTATATCGTCCTAATGTGGGCTTATAGGCAACGTATTCACTATGTTAGCCTGAGAGAACTTCAATTCATCTCAGTATCTGTGTGATGCCGTCCTACAGCAGACGATTCGATGGAACCATCCCTGAGTAGGTTCTTTAATCTCTCCGAGAGGCATCTCAACGCGAGAGAATAATCAGCTTGGATTATAAGTAGAATCAGATTGTATTGCACGCAAAAGGTTAAACCTACCTGAATACGTCACCGAAATAAGTGATGTCAACAGCCATGGAAAAGGTAGTTGACCCTTCCTAGAGTAGGTAGTGTCATGTCTCTGTGTAAAACCTTGAGTAGGCACTTCCATCATTGTAGGAAACCACCCTAATGTGAACAAGGCCATTTCTCTGTGTAGAACTGACCCTATCATCTTCAGTAAATCATCCTAGAATAGACACCTCCATCATTGTAGGAAACCACCCTAATATAAACAAAGCCATCTCTCTGTGTAGAACTGACCCTATCATCTTCAGTAAAACCATCTTAGAGTTTGATACCTCCATCATTGTAAGAAACAACCCTAATGTAAGCAACGCCATTTCTCTGTGTAGAACTGACCCTATCATCTTCAGTAAAACCATCTTAGAGTTTGATACCTCCATCATTGTAGGAAACCACCCTAATATAAGCAAAGCCATCTCACTGTGTAGAACTGACCCTATCATCTTCAGTAAAACCATCTTAGAGTTTGATACCTCCATCATTGTAAGAAACCATCCGAATGTAAGCAACGCCATTTCTCTGTGTAGAACTGACCCTATCATCTTCAGTAAAACCATCTTAGAGTTTGATACCTCCATCATTGTAGGAAACCACCCTAATGTAAACAAAGCCATCTCTCTGTGTAGAGCTGACCCTATCATCTTCAGTAAAACCATCTTAGAGTTTGATACCTCCATCATTGTAGGAAACCACCCTAATATAAATAAAGCCATCTCTCTGTGTAGAACTGCCCTGATCACCCTCAGTAAATCATCCTAGAATAAACACCTCCATCATTGTAGGAAACCGTAATCAAGATTATATATTTATATATCCACAGGGACCCTTCCTAAATTATATATCATGATAGTGTATGTGTTATTTTTATCATATTGACACTCAACGCGAAATGTTTATAACTGATAAATATTGATCATTTCTCAAACCTGAAGCATAATTCACCTTTTCATCGACAGGGATAGAGAACACCATGAAATCATCATAAATGTACATATATGTTAATTAATATAAGCAGATATGAATGCCAAAATCTGTTCCTTCGTTTTGAACAATTCCCACACGACACCGATATGTGTGTCTGCAGCGCGACAATTATTTTAATCACATATCAAGTAGGTATCTGTAATTTAATGTTCCTGATGTTTCAAAAATGTTTATTTTCGTCTATTCGATTTATGAGTCAGGGTTCTGACTTTGATAAAATCATACATTGGCACAATATAAACACTTACAGGGTGATAGTCAGTGCACAATATTTGCCTTTGGTTTTCAAACTGAATAGTAACTCCTACCATAAACATTTGCATTTGTATGATTATCCTAAAATCAGTTACATATATTTTTGCATGATTTACAGATCACACATATCAGTATGAATATTATAAGTAACCTGCATTGTGAGGTTAATTGGGGATATTGTGTTTCAAACTATATTTAAAAGATGGATGTTATGCACATAAGGATTACAGTCGTCTGAAACAACAACTATGCACAGTTGGTTACGTCCCTTTTCATAGACGCCAGAAACATACGATTGTGGAATCCCGATCCGTCCCGATATGAAACTAGACTTGTGAACAACATACCCAAGTCTTGGGGTTTCACCAACTTCTCAGACCTGCATCACGTGAGCCTTTCCCTACATGAAGCTGACGAGACATTCCATAACTGGAGTATTACTGAGAACAAGGTGAAACCCAACTCATTCACTCACGGTATGGCAGTAAAGAGTAAAGGGTCTGTTTCTGTGTTTGCTGAAAGGCTCAGTGGTTAAATTGTTATATCTGTGCCCCGTTTCACAAAACTCTCGTAGGCCTAAGATCTCGTAACTTTTCTCGTAGCATTCGTACCTCCTGTGTTACAGTATAGCAGGTACCAATGCTACGAGAAATGTTACGAGATCTTAGGCCTACGACAGCTTTGTGAAACGGGGCTCAGGATTGTCAACCAATATTTCCTGTTTGTGGAATACATATTCAATAAATTATGTTATGTCTACTTTGTGGTTCTTATTCATTCAATTGTTAATATCCATTTTGTCATTACCTGACCCGAGAAGATCCGGGTTAGAATTGATCTTCAGTAACCCATGCCTGTCGTAAAGGGCGACTAACGGGATCGAGTGGTCAGGCTCACTGACTTGGTTGACATATGCATATGTCATCGTATCCCTTGGTTGACACATGTAATTGCGTAGATCGATGCTCATGATGCTGATCGCTTCATTGTCTGGTCCAGACTCGATTATTTACAGACTGCCACCATATAGCTGGAATATTGCTGAGTGCGGCGTAAAACTAATCTCACTCACTCACATTTGTCATTACCTATTCAACATTAAGTGATCACGCAAAAACATATTTTGAATATTTGTAGTGGACAAGAATTGTCTGATTTACCTGAATTTGTTATACAACAATGATACATCTAGTTTAAATGTGACCAAGGAAATATATATGCAATAGTAATAAGCGACATTATGGTAACTGAAACTCTATCAAATGTGGTGTTAGTTTGGAATTTTTCAAGTTGTCTTTTCTCGCTGATAAAGCATGCAGATTTAAAACATGTACCGATACCATGCGGGCTTTATTTCCGAGAACATGCAGCAGATGTATCTCCTAGAAAATGTCGAATGCATCCCCGACATAACATGCATGATTCATGTCTGATAACTGGACACATGAAATATTATATGTATTTTACTTCCACTTTGTTAAATCAAATTTTGCAAACACTAATTCGAGAAAATTTCCATTAAAGAAATCCAGGTTCTCTCTACAGTAAACAAGCGACTGTTCACGTATTTGTTAGGGCACAAAGCCAAAAACAATAGTTCGATATTTCAAAATTATATAAAAATCGAGACAACACATATTTGTGTCTGTTGATTTCATTGTCATTGTCACGAATACATAAAGAAACACAAATAAACATGGCGCCGAGAGAAAGAGATACAATTTCAGTTTTGAAATACATGCTTGTCGAAAGAGTCGACTAACGGGGCCTGGTTGTCAGGCTCGCTGACTTGGTTGACATATGTCATCGTGTCCCAATTGCGTAGATCGATGCTCATGCTGTTGATCACTGGATTGTCTGGTCCAGACTCGATTATTCACAGACCGCAACCATATAGCTGAAATATTGCTGTGTGCGGCGTAAAAGTAAACTCACTCACTCACTTCATGGCCGCGGAAACTGAGTGGTATATATCGGTGACCTTTTGTGCTGGTGATTAGATGCCTCATTCGGAGACTGTGGGTTCGGTTCCAAGATGAAACTCAACCCTAAATGTACAAGAAACTGTTCTTCACTGAGTAATTGAAATCACAAATGTAACATACGCTACATTCTTCCATTTGTTCTCAAACTCAAAATGTCCAATATTGTTGTTCAGAACACAAGGATGTCACAATGTACTAAACATGTCCTAAGGGAAATGTCATGCTAGATCATTTAATGTATTATGCTGCTTAGGACGACCCAGCTTTTTTCTTACCTGTGCCTTTGGTATATGCTCGGAGTGGAAAGAAAGAATGGCGTCAAAGCCATATAAGCCGTATAATCAATATTGTTCTCTGTGCTTCTTTCGCTTTGATTGAAACGCGAAAAGGAGAGGTGAGGTGAGGTGAAATTGGGTTTAGCGTCGTGCTTGAGAATATTTCGCTCATATGACGACGTGCATGCGTGTGTATGTGTATGTGCGGCTGCTTGTACTAGCCCAGACTTAAGCTGGTGTTATAGTGCTAGCCCACTGAGATACCATGCCGCAGTGAAGCATGAATACCCCACTCAGACACATTATACTGACTCCGAGCCGACCAGTCCTTGTTGTACCCATTAATGCCGAGCGCCAGACAGGGACCAACAAGTACCATATTTTAACGTCTTTTGGTATGACGCGGTCGGGGATAGAACCCGCGACCTTCCGCTCTCCTGGCGGACGCTCTAACCACTACACCACGGAGGCGGTCCGAAAAGGAGAGACCTGAAGGAGACCTATTGGACATTTCCCTGAGAACGGAGTGTAGATTCTAGCACAACCATATAGTCCAAGAGCCCGGGGGGTGATTTTTGTACCGAGAGAGGCCAAAAGGTTTAAACATGTATTCTGATTAGATGCTTGATTGGCATTTTAGAAGATGATATTTGATGAACATAGAGATTTTTTCTGGGTTACTCGAGAATAACATGTATTCTGATGTAAAATTGCCTCACGAATCCAAAAATTTTTAGTCTTGCAAATCAAAGCTGTGGCTTTAGCCCACTAGGGGGCGTTGAAGCGATGACTCAGCATTTTTTCAGGTAAACTGCTGCATCCTTTAAATGCCATTTCCCAACTACAAATACTCAGTATTTCACCCAAACTGGTTGCAATGTAAAGAAGAAAGATAAATGTGTAATTTCACAAAATAAAATGTTTAACAGTGTGGTATGTAGAGTAATGACATATTGTTTTTCTTCGTAGATTTACAATTTTTTGTCATTTTACCACCTGAAGTTCAGTGTAATGAAACTAAAGTATAATATAATACAGTATTTAAGGCTTTTAATTATGTAAAATGTGTAAGGAATTCAAATATATCAACAAAATGCATATGTCACTCAGGGTTAGTGTTTTATCTAAGATAAAGAGAGTAAGGGTAATTCTATAAAATCACTCAAGGGGAGATAACTCTGTAAAATGTGGTTTTCAGAAAGAGATATAACTTGCTTTTTAGTCTATATACATGTAGTTGGACATATATTTAAAGAGTAATTAATCACCAACATTTCTTCATGTTACAAAACAGGTCATCAGGCCAGTAAAACATGCATGCATGCACGCACACACGTGCGCGCACACACACATGTAATAGTTTTAAAATTATTAAGCTAATTCTGACAACTCACATTGAGATTTTGCTATTTCTGTCAAAATGCAAGGGCTACCTCATCACGGATCATACTCATCGTCAGTAGCAGAGTCACTGTCATCTTCTCCAGCCTCAACCTCGTCTGATTCTTCAGGGTCTGGAAATGTGCTACTCATTTGTTTTGTGACACATGTAGGTACCTGTGGTCCTTCGTACCATACAAGTTGAAAAGTTCCATCCTCCAACTTCCATCCATTTCCTTCTGGTTTGAACTTCAATGGATCACCGAGATGAACATTCTTCCACATACTTGAAACATAATTGGTTCTTTTGATTTTTTTGAACTAACGATACTTGACAAGGAGGAAATACAACAGCATCTGTTCCTTTGATTTTGTCTAAAGGACCATGGCCTGGTGCTGGAGCATATCTTTGTTTGAACAAACTATAGCGCACATTATCGACACTGGACAGGCTTGGTTTTGTATACAACGCACATACAAATTGTTCTCATCCTGAAGCAACATGTGAAGGTACCTCCTGTGTTTCATAGACATGTAAAGGCAGCCTGAAATGCAACAGAGGATTCCAGAAGTTGAAGTGGGCGCACTTTCCCCTTTCGAACGAAAGCTAAAGTATAGTCACATCCAGTAAATGCATGAAATGAAAGCAAGGAGTCAGACACTCCTTTCCCAATGACCTTGGAAATTGCATTAATGTTTATGTATCTCCTTGAATTGTTGCTGCTGTGACCTGTGTCCATCCAGATGTGAGCTCCATCAAGTCTTTGGATGTGATGAATCAAAAGTACAAGGATATCAGTGTCTGAGGCTCGCACTGATATGTGTGCTTTCTTCAAATCTTGGCAGATATTGTAGATATGAAAAATGATTCTTGTGTCTGCCTCTTCATGTGTACATCGAAGATGTGGAACAACAGTCCTCACCACAATTCCCTGGTTAGCGGTAAACACATAACATGTATCTTCAAGAGAAAAGTAGAGTGTTGTGGTGCCTAAAATGTGACTATATGTGTCACTTCTCCATTCATCAGCCAAAAATCTCAAGAAGGATGACTTGAAACACGCAGAGTTCAATGCATTTGTGAAGTTGGAAGGCCTGTTCTATATTTTGGATGGATCAGGTGGACCCCATATACTGACAGAGACTGATGTTCTTGCATGTGGATCCTTGAATGGTTTCTGAGGAGGTAAACACTACAATCGATGTAAACGATTGCATCCAATACTCTCTGTTGCATTTTGGAAACTTCACTTCAAGAAATTCTTGTCTGAACACTCTGTTCCTGAAAATGTCATTACAAAAATGAAGAGACTTTATGGATATGCATTGGAAAGGACCCTGATCGAGGTTTTGGAATCAGAGGAGATTACTGCATTTCTCAGAGCCTACGACCACTTCATGAATGAGACACGATCTGGAACTCATGGCAAAACAGCTCAATACTGGATGATGTACATCGATCTGGTCAATCTGTACCTAATGTTCAGCAGAGCTTGTAGAACCAGTGATCTTGCACTGTTCACTTACTGCTTGGGGAAATTGTGTCCACTGTACTTTGCAGTTAACCGTCACAGTTATGCAAGATGGATGACAAAATATCATCTCAATCTTCTGAACATTGACAATACACACGCTGGTGCAAGACAAATCCTGGAACAGGGTGTACTTTCAGTCAAAAGAACAACCAAGCCTTTTGCAAGAGTACCAGTGGATATGGCCCTGAACAGACTGAATGCAGATGCTCCATCCACACAGACAGGCATCTCATCCTTCACTCAGTCACTATCCGCCAGACGACGATGGATGATAACACGTGCAATGAGGAGTGCAGTGGTAAGAGAGCTTCTACAGATTGTAGATCTAATAGACAAGGAAGATGTCACAAAGGAATGCAAACCAGCACGGATCAAATGGGACCATGAAGATGTTGAAAGTCTTGCTACTGCAATTGAAAGTTGCCTGAACCCTTTCACAATGGCTCATCCAAACACACATCTGTACTGTATAACAACGGGAAAACCTCTAGCAGAACATGTTGCTGATGATCTTGTAAACTGCATTCATACAGGTGAAAGATGGTACAATGAATTTTCAGATGGCTGTTTTTCTGACCAGGCCAGATTTGAAAATCCAATCCCAAGAAGAAAGATTCAGAATTTCACTGCTGGAGCTTTTAAGGCCAACAATCAGACCAAAGACAAGAAACTTAAAGAACATCAGTGTTCTCGTGATTTGTTTGGTCGACTTTTATACCTTGCCTCTTCTAGTGAAATTGATCCCGCTGAAGTATTCAGGTTCCCTCTTACACCTCTTCCACTTTCACTTGGTCAAATGGATGGTTCAATGAACAAGACTGACAAGTCAAAACTGATGAGATGTTTGGAAGAAAGGGTAACAGGCATTCAGTTCCCAGATAACATAGATGTGTGTGTCATTGATGGAATGTTCCTCATCCAGTCTCTTACAAACCTTCCTTCAAGATATGAAGAAATTGCCAAGTTCATCCTACAGATCCTCTGCAAATATGGAACCCAAGTAGAATTTGTATGTGACACTTATGCAAGTCCATCAATAAAGGACATTGAGCGAAGAAAACGTGGAGCTTCTGCAGAAGGCACGGTAGTCAGTGATCCAGGTCAGAACAGGCCTTCCAACTTCACAAATGCATTGAACTCTGCGTGTTTCAAGTCATCCTTCTTGAGATTTTTGGCTGATGAATGGAGAAGTGACACATATAGTCACATTTTAGGCACCACAACACTCTACTTTTCTCTTAAAGATACATGTTATGTGTTTACCGCTAACCAGGGAATTGTGGTGAGGACTGTTGTTCCACATCTTCGATGTACACATGAAGAGGCAGACACAAGAATTATTTTTCATATCTACAATATCTGCCAAGATTTGAAGAAAGCACACATATCAGTGCGAGCCTCAGACACTGATATCCTTGTACTTTTGATTCATCACATCCAAAGACTTGATGGAGCTCACATCTGGATGGACACAGGTCACAACAGCAACAATTCAAGGAGATACATAAACATAAATGCAATTTCCAAGGTCATTGGGAAAGGAGTGTCCGACTCCTTGCTTTCATTTCATGCATTTACTGGATGTGACTATACTTTAGCTTTCGTTCGAAAGGGGAAAGTGCACCCACTTCAACTTCTGGAATCCTCTGTTGCATTTCAGGCTGCCTTTACATGTCTAGGAAACACAGGAGGTACCTTCACATGTTGCTTCAGGATGTGAACAATTTGTATGTGCGTTGTATACAAAACCAAGCCTGTCCAGTGTCGATAATGTGCGCTATAGTTTGTTCAAACAAAGATACGCTCCAGCACCAGGCCGTGGTCCTTTAGACAAAATCAAAGGAACAGATGCTGCTGTATTTCCTCCTTGTCAAGTATCGTTAGTTCAAAAAATCAAAAGAACCAATTATGTTTCAAGTATGTGGAAGAATGCTCATCTCTGTGTCGTCATATGAGCGAAATATTCTCAAGCACGACGATAAACCCAATTTCACCTCACCTCACCTCATCTCTGTGATCCATTGAAGTTCAAACCAGAAGGAAATGGATGGAAGTTGGAGGATGGAACTTTTCAACTTGTATGGTACGAAGGACCACAGGTACCTACATGTGTCACAAAACAAATGAGTAGCACATTTCCAGACCCTGAAGAATCAGATGAGGGTGAGGCTGGAGAAGATGACAGTGACTCTGCTACTGACGATGAGTATGATCCGTGATGAGGTAGCCCTTGCATTTTGACAGAAATACCAAAATCTCAATGTGAGTTGTCAGAATTAGCTTAATAATTTTAAAACTATTACATGTGTGTGTGCGCACGTGTGTGCGTGCATGCATGCATGTTTTACTGGCCTGATGACCTGTTTTGTAACATGAAGAAATGTTGGTGATTAATTACTCTTTAAATATATGTCCAACTACATGTATATAGACTAAAAAGCAAGTTATATCTCTTTCTGAAAACCACATTTTACAGAGTTATCTCCCCTTGAGTGATTTTATAGAATTACCCTTACTCTCTTTATCTTAGATAAAACACTAACCCTGAGTGACATATGCATTTTGTTGATATATTTGAATTCCTTACACATTTTACATAATTAAAAGCCTTAAATACTGTATTATATTATACTTTAGTTTCATTACACTGAACTTCAGGTGGTAAAATGACAAAAAAATTGTAAATCTACGAAGAAAAACAATATGTCATTACTCTACATACCACACTGTTAAACATTTTATTTTGTGAAATTACACATTTATCTTTCTTCTTTACATTGCAACCAGTTTGGGTGAAATACTGAGTATTTGTAGTTGGGAAATGGCATTTAAAAGGATGCAGCAGTTTACCTGAAAAAAATGCTGAGTCATCGCTTCAACGCCCCCTAGTGGGCTAAAGCCACAGCTTTGATTTGTAAGACTGAAATTTTTGGATTCGTGAGGCAATTTTACATCAGAATACATGTTCAAACCTTTTGGCCTCTCTCGGTACAAAAATCACCCCCGGGCTCTTGGACTATTGTACGAAATTCATAGCTGGTCATTTTCCATCTATACATGTCTTTTATCTTTAACGGTTAGGTCTACAGAAGTCTATTTATATCATGACTACCCGAAAATGGGAAAACTGGTGGCCATTTTTCAAAATGGCCGCCATATAGAGTACATCAATAAAATAAGTATGAGATCATCCCATGATCTAACATATTTTTATCATTTCTTATCAAATTCAATACGAGAAGCCTCTCAGACTGGCCATTTTTCATATTTGAGGGGAAAAGTGGGGGGGAAATGGAATTTTCCCAAAAATGTTATTTGAACTCAATTTTAAATCCTCATAAATTATGTATCTAGAATATTGTGAGAACAAATGAAAGTTCATTTAAGGAATATATCATTAGATTTACTTACATGTATAATGTATAAGCTTGGTTGACTATAGATCACCTATGAAAACTTATCAAAATCAACGCAAACATATTTCATTTCAATGTCAAAGTAGCTATCTCATTAATCTATGGAAGGTTACTCAATCCTGTGTAATTGTATCTAGGTTGACTGAATCAGAAATGCGCAGTGCACTTAAGAGCTGCTTTTAAACCAGTTTGGACCAGTTTGAACATTTTATACACATGCACTTCAGCAATTCCTGGCAGGCCTTTCATGCCAACAGAAGACTGGTCCAAACAGGTCCAAGCTCTCCCCTAGAGTTATTGCCAACCCTATGCAGAGGGCTTGGTAACTCCTGTGATTTCATCAGGGATTGCTCTGAAACATAACTCCCGTGATTTACAGCTCTCTTTATATGTTGGATCAAAGCTGATTCTGTTGGGGGAATATTGTCCAAAGTTCTCCCCTTCGTGGTGAACAAATGCTTTCTTGCTTCATTCACTTTCACGAGGTTGCTTGCTCTGTCATACAGCAGTACATCAAATCTCTCAAGCTGATGAATCAGCATTAGTGATTAGTGATTTCAAGTGGTGGACAGGTGAGGGAAGTAGAGGTGCCTGTAAGTTCAGGAAAAATTGTCACAGAATGTGAAGCTGTGAAACATTGGAAGGGATCTACTTTTCTCAGGACCCAGACAAATTTCAATATAGCGAAGAGTTTTCCGGTACCAAACCCCACCCATACTTCTTCAAGATCGAGAATGCCTGTTGCAGCTATGGTCAACACAACCACATCAGTGTCAACAGTATGGCTGTAAAACATCTTCCATCCTTTATGTGAAGCATCAGCGAAGCAACTTTTTATCTCTTCATAGTTACAGGGAGCCAATTCCAAAAGGTCTTTTGGTTGATTGGGCACCACATATTCGCCAATTGGGCTGATGACTTGTTTGATTCTATCAAGGTTATGTTCTGTACAAGGAAAGCAAAAAGTTATTTCTTGCTGGCATCGCACCTCGGGAATTCTTGCCATTTCTGAGGAACTGGCTTCCACTCGTCGTCTTTTTCCACTTCCGCTTTTTGTTCTTACACTGGATTTTTACGCTGTCCGTTTTGTATTCGTCCCAGACAATATCCACTCTCTGATTAGTGTCCAGAAGATACTGCAAGTACTTCAAGAACACATTATCAGCATATTCATCAACTGCTATTTGAGCTGCTGGTTTTAGCATGTTTATTACTGCAGATCCATCAAGGATTGATACGTCAACATCTGGTTTTGAGTCAGTTGGTGGTGAAATTTTCTTCATGCAATTGAGAAGAACTGATTTTGCGCATGGACGTAGAGAACCTTGATGAGATATAGTTGGTGAGCAAGACTGATTTTCATGTCTGACAAACCCATCCAAGTTTCCATCCCTTGACTCGTCTGTTTATATCTTGTCTTCATGGAAGAAGTTCTACATCTGTATTGTTGACACAGATGTGGTTGTGTTGGCCATAGCTGCATCAAGCGTTCTCAGTGTTTCACAGCTTCTCAGGCCATGACAGTATGTCATCCTTTGGTGGAATTGAAAAGAAGGCCTCGCGGAATACATGGAATGCTTTTCCTGAACTTACAGGCACCTTTATTTCCCTCGCTTGTCCACCACCTGAAATCCTAATGCACAGATTCATCAGCTTGAGAGTTTTGTTGTACTGCTGTATGACAGTGCAAGCAACCTCATGAAAGTGAAAATATAAAAAATCTGTGAGGCCTCTCGATCTTTATTCAGTTGGAATGGTATAAGCTACAATCATGCCAAGTTTCATGCTTGTAACACAAAGTGCACAATTCAGTGAAAAAATTGCACTTATCCGCTGGGCTATAAGGGAAATGTCATGCTAAATCATTTAATGTATTATGCTGCTTAGGACGACCCAGCTTTTGTCTTACCTGTGCCTTTGGTATATGCTCGGAGTGGAAAGAAAGAATGGCGTCAAAGCCATATAAGCCGTATAATCAATATTGTTCTCTGTGCTTCTTTCGCTTTGATTGAAACGCGAAAAGAAGAGACCTGAAGGAGACCTATTGGACATTTCCCTGAAAACGGAGTGTAGATTCTAGCACAACCATACAGTACACAGAAAAACATAACAATAACATGATTATGAACATTATCAAGACAGAAGTGAGAAGCGCGACGGGTGTGTACAAACATGATGAAGCCGTTGTGGTAATTACTACCTTACCAGCAACTAGTGATGGTAGCAGATCTTCAGCAGGTCAGCACTCAATTCCTAATTGTTTCCTCCCGTGAAGATCCGGGTTAGAATTGATCTTCAGTAACCCATGCTTGGTGTAAAAGGCGACTAACGGGATCGGGTGGTCAGGCTCGCTGACTCGGTTGATATATGTCATCGTATCCCAATTGCCTAGATCGATACTCGTGCTGTTGATCACTGGATTGTTTGGTCCAGACTCGATTATTTACAAACCATCGCCATATAGCTGGAATATTGCTGAGTGCGGCGTAGACTGAACTCATTCACTCACTAACCCTAATTGTTACACGATCTCATACAGAAATAACTATGAGAAATTGTAGAGTGCTCTCTAGTCTACTGTGTGCTGGTTTGGACATCATGAACACCGCTGTCCATTGTGATAAAGTACTTGCATACAGGACATAGATCTGTTCCTGAACATGTACAACATTATGTGTTTGCAGATAGTGCTTTCAAACACAGTGCTTGGTCAACAAACACAAATACACGCGTAGATGTGTTTTAATAAGAGAAGGTAAGCGTAAATATGTCTAAACTTCTGTAATAGTTGCATTTCGGAGAAGACGTAGGTTGTGTAAATTGGAAAATGACAATAGTATACTTTATATAAAGTTACGATTGCTCAAACGAACATAAATCTCGTGTCTCCGTCTGAATGTTTTTCTGTTTGTACCTTTCTTGGAAGAGCATTTTCATAAAACAAATGTGTAGTTCTTGACGTTGCTGAAGCGTTTGGACGGGTAATAATAGCCCTGAACGCTGATTGCTTGGAAATTCCATGGCCTAAATTCTCATGTCACATTGAACTTCCTTGATGCAATGATTGGACGAACGCCGAGACCAGGAAGATTTGACATACCTGCGTGTTTAAAAGAATTGTTCTCTCAGATTTCATATTGCTTACCCCCTTGAAGATTTGAAATGGTCTCCTGCACCCTTTGCATGTTGTAAGATTTCAGTAACGAGATAGGATGGTCAGGCTCAATAGCGTGGTTGATTCATGTCATAGTAACAAAATGTATGTCATATGTCAACATATCACATTTGCATGCTGACTTAACATACATATATTCTGCCGGTTATGAATGACATGTATGAAGTAAAACTGCCATGGTAGAAATGAGTGAGTGAGTTAAGATTGTAAGTCACATCGGCATTAAGTCATTTCAGCCATGTCGTGACTAAAAACAAGTTATAATTTCACAATAAATAAAGTTAAGGTATATTATAAAAAACTTGTCAGCGAAGGACAGTAAAAACAACTAGAATATCACAGATATATATGTAAAAGACGTAATTAAATCTAAAAGGTTGTAACTAGAGAGTACAGCACAATATAAAACAGGCTATTGGATATTGAATATTTTCTTGAGTGGAAACTAAAGACAGTTTATTTCTGTTTTGTCAAATACAAGCAGGACAGAATACAGAACACTGAGCTCATAACACTTGTCTCTTGTAATTGTCTTACACAGAACACAAATATGCCTTGACTTGGTGAGTGTGGTTGATTGATACTTGGCTGATGGTCAGTTGTCCTTTCTCTAGTAATCTCTAACTATAAAAGATGTGACTAAGATTAACTGTTAATGGGTATTTGGGGACTGGTGGCTATGGTATTAACTTGCTATCCAGGTCATGGCTGCTTAATACGGGCAAATGTCGGTTATGCAGTATCGCAATACGTATCCTATCGTGACCTCAATATTGAGATTCGTATCGTATCAAGGCACCTGTATCGTGACATCTCCACTAATTATGTGGAGTAAGAAGCTGCTTTTCACAGACAAACAAACATAACGGAAAACACCGGGATCAGCCAGGCTCGTGTGTGTGGAAACAGACTCCGCCAGCCTTAATAGCTTGTTACCCGCAATGGACTCCGTCAACTAACTACTGGCAATGAAATTCTCAATTGTTCACTTTGGATAAAAAACGTTCTGTTCTTCATACTTGGCTAAATGACATGTGTTGGTTGAACCGCTCACGCTGATAATCAGTGGATTAACAAGGTGTAGGTCTAACCAATAACTGAGTCGAAATGTTCACAGTATCGTGAATTGTCACTTGCCAGTGATGTCCAATATAATATTGTGACGATTTTATAATAAGTATTTGTTTCAAATCATGTTCCGAAATGTACAGTTGCTGTTGAATTATATCAACTGTGTATTAAAAAATCACTTTGGTATTAGAAAAAGGGCCGTAGTCCTAACAGAAAATTAGCATGTCAGTTTAGCGTAAAATATCAGTACAGACGCTTTCGTGTGACTGGATGTTACAGAGCTGTCAACCCCTAAAGATGGTTTGGAGTGAGACTGAAATAAATAAGTCGGGGTTATGTCGAGGGCGACGCCCTGGTCGGGGGTCTCTGAGAGGCGAAGCCCCCGGCCCCCGAAAATGAAGTTTAGTGATTTTCAGGAGCATTTGGAGCCTTCTGGTGGCATTATTTTGACACTAAAAGATGCATGCTAATAAATAATAATAAGCCGAATCATTCGCATAAACATCGTTTTAGTACTTCGTTCATTCAGGCGTTCTTTCAATGTTCCCGCTGTGATGTTGCTGGAATATTGCTAAAAGCGGCGTAAAACCAAACTCAGTCAGTCTTTCAATGTTCAACTTTACGCAAAAACGAACGAAAATGCGTATTAATTTTGAAATTATTTTCGTGTGACTGGATGTTATGGTTCTTGACTTGAATGTCAGATTGTCTAATGTTTAACAAGTGTACCGCTGTGCCTCGTCAGACAACAAATACAGGCCTGTCTCCAGTCGCGGTTGTTGCGCTAGAGAAGTAAAGACTCGCCCTTTCCGCCAGCACTTGGTCTTATAACTAATGCTCCGAGGTCCATTTACATACAACTTGGTCGTTACTTTCTTTGTTATGTCGAGTGGCGTCTGTTTCGGCAGATCGTCCACGATGTAATGTTGCAGTAGTAATTAGTAGTTTGCAAAGAGTGGCTTCTTACATGTAAAAGTTGCCTGCGAAATCTGGTTTTAATTATTTCGTGTCTGTCAAGGTTATTGTACTTCATATATGCCATTTAGATACGCTTGAATAGTTGAGGGGAATAAAGATAGGTGCAGTTACCATGCAAAACCGATTTACATTGACCAATGAGACTTGTAATCTGAGATCAGGAAGTGGGCTATGTTACCACGTAGTGTGAGCGTGACGCTTGGGCCTACCCGCCTTGCAACAGATTACAGCCGTGGATATCAGAACGGTGAGTAAAACGACTGTAAAATATTAAAGCAATAAATTGCAGTTCGAGATCAATTCGTATCATCGATATTCCAAATAGGCATACATATTTTTTTCTAAATATCCGTATTGTGTGTTTATAATACTAATTCACACGAAAAGCAATACCCATGAAACATACTATATTTCAAAGTGGCAATACAGGCATGGTCTATAATATACACAGTAGCTCGGGGAATTTGTCATTTACGTTCAGGATAGACTGGTGTAATGTCAAATTGTTTAATATCAGCGTGATCTGTGTTACATAACAACGTATGGTATGGATTTACAACTTCTTTAATATTTACAACACGACGTTTCTGGGCTACTTCTTGCCCCTTCATCAGGTGCATGACAGAATGTGATTGATCTCTGCACATCTCAATATGTAATACTATCTCACTTGCTTCCTGGACATACTATATATTTGGCTCGTAATCACATTCTGTCATGCACCTGATGAAGGGGCAAGAAGTAGCTCAGAAACGTCATGTTGTAAATATTAAAGAAGTTGTAAATCCATACCATACGTGTTATGTTACCTTCCAACTTCCAAATGCCCATCAAGCATGTGATCTGTGTTGATCACAATTCACTAGTTTTGGTTAATGACACCATATTCCTGTTGTTGCTAATTGTGGACATTTTTGTTTGTGTTGTGTGTCTGTGTTTGCTTTGTTGTTGGCCAGATGATGTTTTAACAGGAATAAAGCGTTGTGAATAGTTTTGCAAAGGTGTTAACATCGTATCGATATATAGTAATTGACATATGATATATCTGATATATTTTACTCTATTTAGATTTCACCAGTTTGATACCGATGACGATAACACCATGCGGCTGATGAAGTTTTACAAATCAGCCCAGAAGTTGTATGGGAGAGTGTTCTATTCATACGGCCATCTTGTAGGACGTTATCCCGTCGTATTCATCGTCGCTGCGCTGGTGTCTACAGGAGTGCTGGCTCTCGGACTTCTTCGCATGGAGTCGGAGACGGATGTTGAGCGTCTATACACTCCCATCAACAGCCAGGCTGTTCAGGACAGAGACAAGATGAAGGCCAGCTTCCCAGACTGGACAGGAACAAACTACAACACATACAGTCTGAACGCCGAGGACAGGTACGGTGAGATCATCGCCATCTCAGATGGAAACATCTTCTCCAATACCAGCATTGGTGAGATGAGAATCTTGGTAGATACGATTAAACAGTTTAAAGTTGGATTTAAAGGCAGGACAGTTCACTTTTCAGATGTATGTGCGCGCGCATCAGACTTGTGTGTCATAAGCGGTGACTTCCTCTTACAAGATGACTTCCTGTCCTCTCTTGAGCAAGGGAACGTCACCTACCCGGTATGGAACGACGTCGACATCTCCTTGTTTGTGGCAGGTGTAAATGTCTCCGGTGAGGTGCTCGAGTCAGCGTCAGTGATGAAACTCACCTTTCATCTGCGGCAGGACAATGGCAGCATGCTGGCGTCAACACTCACTTGGGAAGATACATTTGTCGCACACATGAAGAACGAATCCTCTTTCCTTAAACAGCCAAGGGTTCATTTCGCAACGTCCCAGTCCTTAGGTGATGAACTCAACCAGAATACTGACGGTGACATATACTGGTTCTCGCTGTCCTTTTCGATGCTGATCACATACGCCAGTGTCGTGGCAAGTGGAGACTGTGTTGGCTCCAGGAACCATCTGGCCAGAGCTGGGATCCTGGCTGCAGGATTCGGCATCCTGACAGGCATTGGTCTGGTGTGCCTCTGTGGTGTCAAGTGGGTCAACGTGGTCGGAATAATGCCAATCATGGTTCTGGGTAAGAATCGTAATGTTCAAGTTAGGATTTGGTGTATTGTGTTGATATGTGTTTGGTGTTTAACGCCGGCAATATTCCTGCCCTGTAACGATGACCTGGAAATAATCGAGTGTGGTCCAGAAGAGCCAGTGGTTGATATTTAGAGCGGTAATCCGCTCAGTCAGGGTACCAATGACTCGCAATAATCCAAGTCTCAAAGCCTGATCACCCGATCACCTGGGTCGCCTCTTAATTTCACTTCAGTTTTACCTACTTTTCTGTTATACCTACAGCTGTAGGCGTGGACGACATGTTCCTGATGATGTCAGCGTGGGCCGAGACGAACATCCACGGCGACGAGTGGGACATTCCTACACGTCTTGGACACACCTTCACAAAGGCTGGAGTGGGCATCACCATTACCTCCTTAACAGACTTCCTCGCCTTCATGGTTGGAGCAACCTCCGACTTCCTCAGTATCAGAAATTTCTGCATCTTCACAGGTGCGTGATCAGGCGCGATGAAAATGATTTAAATGAAACTTAAAATACATGAGGTTGATCCACAGCTTCACCTTTACCTTGAACAAATCTGATAGTGTAAAATATGTAGTAGAATACGGAATACTGTTTGGGACATTTCATTTCAAAGATCTCGAAAATGAGAAAATGTCATATATTCCGCAACAATGAATATGAAGAAATGTGTTTTCAAGGTCTTGTATAACAAACTGATATGTACGCTTAAATCGGTGAGGAATATGTTTAAATGTTCACTTTACGACTATAAGTAGTTGGAATGAATTCAGGTATGAGGAAATAACCTCAAGCGGTCATGTAATAGTGCCAATTGTAACAAAAGAACTTTCCTTCGAATACACGTAATTGTATCCATCATCATTCAGGTAATTGAAGGGCCTGAAACCTTAAGTCAAGATTTAGAACAAGAGTACCGATAGTGAGTGAGTTTAGTTTTACGCCGCACTCAGCAATATTCCAGCTATATGGCGGCGGTCTGTAAATAATCGAGTCTGGACCAGACAATCCAGTGATCAACAGCATGAGCATCGATCTGCGCAACTGGGAACCGATGACATATGTCAACCCAGTCAGCGAGCCTGACCACCCGATCCCGTTAGTCGCCTCTTACGACAAGCATGGCAAGATCAATATTCTAACCCGAACCTTCACGGGTAAGAGTACTGGTAAATATGTCTTAAATAATATTGTTTTTATAATATTTATTTACTGCATCGTATGTCATGTTCCAGGTGTGGCCATGTTGTCATGTTTCTTTTTTCAAACGACGTTTTTTGCTGGATGCATGTCACTTCAAGGACGGCGGGTGGAAGCATCACGCCATTGCTGCACGTGCCACAAGATCCCCAGTCGGGAGGAACTTACAGAACAAGGGAGACCATTCTTGATTATATGTTGTTGTGGTGGCAAGCCACCTCGTGAAAGACGTGATTCGATCTTTGAGAAATTCCCATCATTATGTCTTACAAACTTTCTTCTCACCATCCCTGGGAAGGTGATAACGCTTGTGATGTTTGTGGTCTATGTATCCGTTTCCATCTGGGGCGTAACAGGTTTAAAGCAGGGTTTGTTCCTAAACCTGTTGGTCCCACCATCTTCATATTACCATGGCTATAGTGTATCTAACTATCACTACTTTGGGGTCAAGATACCTGTCCAGTTTGTGTTTAACCACGCAGGTATTGACTACAAAAACGAAACAACGCTGAAGCACGTGAAGGAACTCTTTCACAATATCGGACAGTCTTCTGATATGAATAATGGCACTACAAAATGCTGGCTTTTGGACTATGCGTCTTCTGAACATTTCAACATAACCTCAAACTCCATCTTCATTAAGAATTTACAAGAGTTTTTAAATGATAGGTCTGATTTACGAAATGACATTGTGTTCGGGTCAAATGAAACCATAACGGCATCCCGGTGCCACATGTTTTCAAGAAACGTCCCTGACTCAGTGGACCAGGCTGGTCTGATGCTGTCCACGCGGCAGATAGCCAAGTCATCCCCAATGCAAACATTTGCCTACCATCCCTTGTTCATCTACTTTGAGCAGTTCGTGGCAGTTCTTCCCACGGTTCTGAGGACTGTTGGTGTAGCTGTAGCTGTCATGGTCGTCGTCACTGCCATCCTCCTTCCTCACCCCGCCATAGTCGCTGCCGTCCTCTTCAACATCCTCATGATCCTCCTGGGGATCTTTGGTTTCATGGCTATCTGGGATTTGAGCATCAGTGCGATCACAATGATCCACCTGGTTATGAGTGTCGGGTTCTCTGTAGATTTCACCGTCCACGTGTGCTCCGCCTACATGTTAAGTGAAGGGCAAACACGAAATGACCGTGCAAGGAATGCCATAATACATGCTGCTGGTCCAATATTCAATGGTGGCTTGTCAACATTTATAGGCATCTGTACGTTGGTGGTCTCACAGTCCTACGTGTTCCAATCCTTCTTCCGCATAATGGTGTTGGTCGTACTGTTTGGGATGTCGCATGCTGTGCTTCTCATGCCGGTGTTGTTGTCTCTGGTGGGTCCTATGGAGTCCAACAGACTAGAACCTTCCCACACTGCAGACAAGGGAGAAACGTCAACCTCGGGCCAACATTCAAACGTAGACGAAATACCCTGCACAGGCAATCATTTCAGCCATTTATGACGGCAACGTGTGAATAACTGTGTTTGAATCAGTCAATTGTTCGATCTTTCAATTTTTAATGAGAATCCACGCCGTCAGAATCCGATGGCAGACTATACTCTGAATTCTCTGAAGATATATAATTTTGATTGTATCAAATAAACCCATTTAAATTAAAAAGGAGCCCCAGTGAGATGGGAGCCTGAGGAGATCTAGAGTACTTTCATTCGGGGCCTTAGCATTGCTGGAGGGTTAGGCAGTAGGGAAATAGTGATCCACTTTTCCAACCATTATTATGATACACTGTACCGATGCTGTAGGTGGTACCCCTTGCATCTTTATACTGGGATAACTGAATTAATGTGTACTGCTGTAAATATTGCTCAATAAAATCTATGCATGTCTGACAATATGCGTCGTATGCGTTTGAGTGTCAAAGTGTTAGAATGAGTGTGGTGAGTGTGTGAGTGAGTGAGAGAGGTGAGCGACTTTGTTAGAGTGAGTGAGTGTTCGAGAGGGTGGGTAAAGGTGTGAGGTTTGTGTGTGAGAGTGTGAGAGTATGAAAATGAGTTTTTTAGTGAGTGTGGTGAGTGTTTCAGAGTTGTGTGTGAGAGTGGTGTGTGTTTCAGAGTTGTGTGTGAGAGTGGTGTGTGTTTCAGAGTTGTGTGTGAGAGTGGTGTGTGTTTGAGAGTGGTGTATGAGAGTAATGAGTGTTTGAGAGTTGTGTGTGAGAGCGTGAGTGAGTGCTTGATAGTGTGTGTGAGAGTAATGAGTGTTTGAGAGTTGTGTGTGAGAGCGGTGTGTGTTTCAGAGTTGTGTGTGAGAGCGGTAAGTGTTTGAGAGTGGTGTATGAGAGTAATGAGTGTTTGAGAGTTGTGTGTAAGAGCGTGAGTGAGTGCTTGAGAATGTGTGTGAGAGTAATGAGTGTTTGAGAGTTGTGTGTGAGAGCGTGAGTGAGTGTTTGAGAGCGTGTGAGAGTAATGAGTGTTTGAGAGTTGTGTGTGAGAGTGGGGAGAGTGTGTGAGAGTAATGAGTGTTTGAGAGTTGTGTGTGAGAGCGTGAGTGAGTGTTTGGGAGTGTGTGAGAGTGGTGTTTGTTTCAGAGTTGTGTGTGAGAGTGACGAGTGTGTGAGAGTGGTGTGTGTTTGAGAGTTGTGTGTGAGAGTGGCGTGTGAGTAAGTGTATGAGAATGAGTTTGTTAGTGAGTGTGGTCAGTGTTTGAGACTTGTATGAGAGTGTGAGTGAGAGTTTGAGAATTGTATGTGAGAGGGTGAGTGAGTGTTTGAGAGTTGTGTGTGAGAGCGTGAGTGAGTGTTTGGGAGTGTGTGAGAGTGGTGTTTGTTTCAGAGTTGTGTGTGAGAGTGACGAGTGTGTGAGAGTGGTGTGTGTTTGAGAGTGGTGTGTGAGTAAGTGTATGAGAATGAGTTTGTCAGTGAGTGTGGTCAGTGTTTGAGAGTTGTGTGTGAGAGTGGTGAGTGTGGGTGAGAGTTTGAGAGTTGTGTGTGAGTGTGGTGATTGAGTGTGGACAACGGTTATATTATAATGAGTTCGTGAGCGATGGTGGTGAGTGAGTGAGTATGGTTTTTCGCCGCTTTTTAGCAATATTCAAAAAATATCATGACGCTGGACACCAGAAATGGGCTTCAACATTTCGTCCATGTGGGGCATCGAACCCTGGTCTTAAGCGGGGCGAGCGGCCGCTTTAACCATTAGACTATCCCAACGCCGCTATGGTGAGTGAGAGTGATGAATCAGTGAGTGAGAGTGGGGAGTCACTGTGTGAATGGTAAGCAAATACGTGATTAGTAAGTGTGTGAGAGTGAGATTATGAGTGTGTGAAGATGGGGATAGAGTGAGGGTGACTTTGATCGTTTGAAACGAGAGTCACAATTTGCAATTCCCGAACCAGGACTAGATAAATAAAGCATCATGACACGGATTTGGCTGGCTGATCGATACATAGTCAATTTCAGTCCTGCTTATCAAAATGTGCTAAATGACTTACAGGTACATTTGTGTGAAAATACTCCTATACATCAAGATACTCCTATCTAAATATACGACCCGTGAAGATCCGGGTTAGAATATTGATCTTCAGTAACCCATGCTTGTCGTAAAAGGCGACCAACGGGATCGGGTGGTCAGACTCGCTGACTTAGTTGACACATGTCATCGGTTCCAAATTGCGCAGATCGATGCTCATGCTGTTGATCACTGGATTGTCTGGTCCAGATTCAATTATTTAGTTCAACTTTAAACAACAAGCAAAATAGTGCACAACATTGACGAAACGATAAGTTACATAATACAAAATTTGATAGATGATTATTCACAGACCGCCGCCATACAGCTGGAATATTGCTGAGTGTGGCGTGAAACTAAACTCACTCACTCACTCTAAATATACTGAGCAAAACTGAACACTTTACACTGGAGATTTTTTACTAGGTTTTTAACATTAGGTTTAAGACAATAATTCTAGTTGTATAATGTGCACAGAACATCTTGACATCAAAGGAAAATAAGAACGTATCGCCGAAACTCTTTAACAACGATAACGTTCATGATGTCATGGTACCCTCCAAAACGAGTGGAGAACAATTTAATTGATGTCTTCCTTAACTCTTTCGCTGACTTATTTTACAGCTGGGGATTTTGTAGTAGTTTTTGAATGACAATTAGACGTTGGACGAACATGAATACATGACATGTTTCATGGATAGCAACTTCAGAACTTCTTTCTTTTTCTTTATATATATACCGGTCAGATTTGGTGTAGTTTACACAGAAACATAAAGCGATGGTGAGTTTACAAGGAACAGAAGTGAACATATACCGTGCTGCTCTTAGGCTGGTATTTTCCCCTGACAAACTAAATATATGCTACGTCAAAACCGAGTTCCAGTTTATTCATATGCTCATTGCTTTCTTTACATGAATTTAATCTGTCTAACGCCCTTCAGGTATTTTAAATGATGTACGCCTTTGTACCTTTGAGAAATATTAGAAATGTATTTTACGTTGTACATAATACATGTACAGCCAGTGTAATTGGCATTATAACAAAGGAAAAATGACTTTTGATCCAAAAACCATTATATCCAGTTTGGCATTATAACCAGGGTATTATATAGGCAGGAAATCCGTTCTGGCAAAAACATGGCATTACACTCAGGGTGTCATTATAACCAGGGTGCACTGTATAATCTGAAAATGTACAGATACAACACATTCAGTTGTACAACACAACGGACTGTAATGAGAAATATGTGAGGATGCAGAGTGGATGAATGAAGTTATGTTGTTGTAAGTATATCTACACATTAATTAGTAAGACTATACTTACCCCTGGTACTAGAAATCTAGTATCTTAACTAGTTGCAAAATATTATTGTCTTCAAATTGTATGTGGGACTTCTTTAGCTAATCACAAAGTCGCCGCGAATAGCTGCAACATTGCTGATGCTGTAGTCAATCTTTATTTACTCACTCACGAATGATAAAGGCCGTTTCGGTATTATTTGCCCACCGTTTTCGCTTGCAGCCGTTTTAGATATAATCCAAGCTCCATATCAGCGCATGCTACCGTCACGGTACATCAGTATCACACGCTGGTAACGGTACGTCGCTGCATGAAGTTCCATACCGTTATGCCTGCGCATACAAAGTAAGGAACCCAGAAATGTTTTCAATGAAAACTGCTTCATAAATAATCGTTTGTGGGAACTGACAAAAATATCCCATGCCAGGTTTGTTTGTTAGTAGTTCATCAACGACGAATGCAACCCATTTAATTTGTATTTACCGTGTGAATTATAAGCTTCAACTCTCTAAAAGCACGATTGTCCTGTTTCAATCCAACTAGTACCGAAACAGGAGTAAGGACATGTAAAACATTGTCAATAAGCCATTTGAATACTTGTATCGATAGTAACATTGTGCTCTAATGCGCTTTACGTGAGTAAGTGTGTATATGGTAGCAACATAAGATAATAGAAGGGCAAACAAACGTTTTAAATTCAGGTTACACTGGTTAGGGATGTATTTCATTATTTGTGTGAATATTCCCCCCGCCCATTATTGCTCATGCTACAGATTGGTGCCAAGCGTATTATGCACTTGACGTAATTTCCATAGACTTACATGTTAAATTAGTGTAGCATAAATAATTTTCATTAATTTAGTTTTCGTAAGTAACATATGTTATATTTGGGATTACACTTTCTCAGTAAAGTACAGATTCTAGTAGTAGTACTTTTTGAGGGGTTGAGTCCCATCCGGGATTCGAACCCACACCCTCAGAGTCAGGCACCTAATCGCCAGCACACAAAGTCAGACGCCTAGACCGCTCAGCCACCGCGGCTTCCACAAAAATGGAAGTCGGACAACTGGTAGTCTAGACTGCGGACTTTGTGTACCCCTCTGACAAGTGTTAATTGGCACAGCTCCCACGGCCATTTAGTTTTCGTAAGATCCAAGTCAAATTTTGCACATTTGTGATGAATTATCTTACCTGCGATCACATAAGTTGTTAAATTTTCCGTTGCTTATTTATCGAATGGCAACATTTTAATCAACATGTGCACAGTGCCGTAGCACCTTTAACATGGTGGCCTATGGGATTGTGCATTGTGAAACCATAGTGAGTGAGTGAGTGAGTTTAGTTTTACGCCGCAATCAGCAATATTCCAGCTATATGGCGGTGGTCTGTAAATAATCGAGTCTGGACCAGACAATCCAGTGATCAACAGCATGAGCATCGATCTGCGCAATTGGGAACCGATGACATTTGTCAACCAAGTCAGCGAAACTGACCACCCGATCCCGTTAGTCGCCTCTTACGACAAGATAGTCGCCTTGTTATGGCAAGCACATGGGTTGCTGAAGACCTATTCTACCCCGGATCTTCACGGGTCGAAACCATACGTAAGTTGATACATGTGATGTGATTAGTTACACAGTGGTCGGAAAATTGAACTGAAATTATGTGCGCAGAGCAGAAATGATTTCAAATTTGACAGTCAAATTTTACAAAGATCCATCCTCAACTCACATCATGAAAATTATTTATGCTACAGTGAAATAACATGTAAATCAATGGAAATTACGTCAAGTGCCGAATACTTTTAGCACGACTCTGTATCAACCACTGTTCCGCTCAGATCAGGCTCCATATTGCTAAGAGTAATATAGCTGTCATGTAGCTGAAATATTTCTGACTGGTTTCATTCTTTGATTCGATGTCCCCAAACAAAATAAATATATAAATGATTACGGTTGATAATATGACAGTAAAGACTCGCACACCTTTACATACGAAGAACCTGTCAAAAAACAAAACAATTAACAACAAAAAATATTCAAAGGCTCCTTGATACACCAGCAATGAAACAAACTTTACTTTTTCATGTCATGTCTCTGCATTCTCACAACATGCATTAGTAGTTACCCATGAATATATTTTTATGTATAAATGATTATATTTTATATTTTCAGATTCTTTTTGTTTGGAATTCCAAATGAACTTGACCTGGATGCAACAACTATGTACAGTGACTTATTATTGTGAAATGTAGGGGCTTGTGGAAGTATACTTTACTGCTTCATGCCTGCTTAAGTTTAAGTATCATATATATAAATGGCATTATTACACATAAATCTTGGAATATAGCATAAGCAATAAGATATTATGTGTAGTGGAGGTACCAATGATGACCGAATCTTACAAATGTGGGGTTTGCAAGCGTACTTTCAGACGGAAGTATAATTTCACTCGGCATTTGACTATTCACACAAACTGCCAGATGTTTTCCTGTGAGACATGTGGAAAAGAATTTAAGCACCAAGATGGTCTAGAAGCACATGGAAAATTCCACACAGGGGAAGATCTCTTCGAATGTGGTGTGTGTAATGCCAAGTTTAACTACAGAAAAAGCTTACAGCGTCATATGCTCATTCACAAGGATGAAAAGAGTTTTGAATGTGAATTCTGTAGTAAGTCTTTCCGTAAAATGGGCATCCTGAAAAGACACAGGACTATTCACACAGGAGAAAAGATGTATTCTTGTAAAATCTGTGATAAAGGCTTCACTCAGAAAAAGAACTTGACAGTGCACTTGCGTTTACATTTAGAGTTTTTACTGCACTCTTGTAAGTTGTGTGGAAAACGGTTCAAGCGGAAGACTGATCTTAAAGCACACCATCAAGTTCATACTGGAGTCTCTAATTTGTCATGCAGTATTTGCAACAAAACCTTCTCAAGGAAATACACGCTGAATCAACATCAGTCTGCTCATGCAGGCTCGAAAATGTTTAGCTGTGATTTGTGTGGAGAATTGTTTACATACCAGAGCACATTGATAAGACATAAAAAATCAAAATGTTCAAAGACCTTTTCCTGTCATATTTGTAAGAAGATATTTACAAGGCAGAACCATCTATCAAATCATCTCAAAGGCCACACTGAACATCTTTACAAATATTATTCGACTCCAACTGATGACTTCTCTGACGTTGACATGCTTGAAAGCTACATGTGTTCTCTGTGCAAGAAAGATGTTAGTTACCTTGACCTTAGCATGCATTTCAGACTCCATACAGGGGAGCTAGTGCAATGTGAGGAGTGTAGGGAGGTCTTCTCTGACAACAAGATATTCGAGCTGCATGTACAAACTCACAATATGCACAGGATGGTTGACACCACAGTGTCTGTTAAGTCAGAGGCTTCATCTGACACTCAGGGGTAGACTAACGAGCAAGTACCAAAAACAGCAAGTTTATGCAAGGATTTATTGTTTTCTGAATTCAAGTTACCTCAAATAATGCAATAGAAATGAGAAGTGATATCTAGCTGGAGTTCTATCATTTATTCATTGTAGAATCCCCTGACAATCGTTTCAAGTTGCATGTCTACAATTATCTGTTCAAGTTTCTAACACCAGTATTAAAGCAGATTTGTAAGTATTACATGTAACTGAACTCTTGTCACTGTTTCTAATGACTTTGGACAGGGGTTTACAGTACAGAAAGTGTTTGTTTTCTAATGTCCTGCTCAGGAATATTTCAACTATATGAGTGAGTATTGATGTGCGCAATAAGGGGAGATAACTTGTATTAACCAAGGTAGCAAGGCCGACCACCTGATCCTGTTAAACACCTACACATAAAGTATGTGTTGCTGAAGACTAATTCGAATCTAACTCCTCGCAGTCACCACCAAGGTGCTCATGAGGGACAGAGAGGGAGGCATAATGATGTAATTGTAACCTGAATCATCATCGTTCTGGTGTCAGTACTTCTTAAGAACTAGCTACTTGTCTGTTTGTTGTTACTGATTTTACCATGGTTGATTTTCGTTGGAATTTTGCTATCAACTTTTTATCATTGTTTGTGTTGTTCTTATCATTTGTTGATATACTAATTTACAAATATTTCTGCATGACAGCATCAATGCATGTTATAATTTATGAAATTTATACTTTTGAATTATTTGTTAGGATGGTTGGGACATGGAAACGAAATACAAAAACACATGTCAGACTTCAGTATTTTTGTTAATAAAGATTGTGTGAGTATAAAGCCGTGTATGCAGTTTTCAAGAAAGTGGTCACATCAGTCTTGTTTACAATTCATTTATGGTAAAATAGTGAAAAATCTGAAGTTCACAGTTCTAACCTACATAGGTAGTTTGTGTAGGCTCCTGGTGAGGTATGGTGATCGGGAAAAAAGTCATAGGAAAAAGATCATTAATTTTAAAAGTTAGGTTCAGATGTGGTTCAGAGAAATCTATGTAGTGCTACTGATGATAATATTGTTATGACGTGTTGAATAAATACATTATTTATACTGACTTTTTTGAGTTTATGACTTATTTTCCTACCCAAATCTATGACTTTTTTGTTATGACTTTCTTTCTTTTTTACATACTGAGGTACAGGATGTGATTTCATTCTTTTTCCTTACCTGCTTCAGGTACATCGAAGTGGATTAATCAGGTTGCACCATGTTTAAAATTTTGATATAACACCTCCAACATAAGTATTGGTTCTCAGGTATTGATAATACTGGGTTGGGGTGGCCGGTGGCCTAATTACGGAAATAAAGTGAAGGGAAGATCATCAAAATATTGCCTGCACCATATAACCATATTATAACAATCCGATCTCTGACACTGACAAATGACAGTTCTTTATCAGTGAGAGGGATATTCATTCCTTACCAACTTTACTTTCTCCAGAAAAGTTCACTTTAGTCAATGTCTGAGAGCATGCTTTGATAGATCGTTGCTTTGTAACTGACATTTTCATTCATAGATTTAATGTCTTTTCTGCTGGGCAAAATCAACTTGTCCACCATTACAAATGATGTATTACACACTGACGTCTGACATCCATGAAATGTTAGAAGATTGTGTACAGTGTGTGGTCTGTCCAACTGGGCATGAGAACAGACTTGTTTGCATTTGTTTTTCTTTTGGTAACTGATTCACCTGATACACATGCTGGGACAATACACATTCATAGGAGAATTAATGCTGGAAACTTATATCAATAAAACATCTGCCATGGAGTATTTATACAAGTCATGCTGCTGGGTGCAGCTGACAATAAGAGTTACCTGCACTAGTAATAATTTACCTGCACCTCTGCAACCAGACAATACAAGTTACCTGCACTAGTAATACTTTACCTGCACCTCTGCAACCAGACAATACAAGTTACCTGCACTAGTAATACTTTACCTGCACCAGTGCAAGCAGACAATACAAGTTACCTGCACTAGTAATACTTTACCTTCACCTCTGCAGCCATACAATACAAGTTACCTGCACTAGTAATACTTTACCTGCACCTCTGCAGCCAGACAATACCTGCACTAGTTACCTGCACTAGACAATACAAGTTACCTGCACTAGTAATAATTTACCTGCACCAGTGCAAGCATACAATACAAGTTACCTGCATTAGTAATAATTAACCTGCACCAGTGCAACCAGACAATACAAGTTACCTGCACTAGTAATACTTTACCTGCACCAGTGCAAGCAGACAATACAAGTTACCTGCACTAGTAATACTTTACCTGCACCTCTGCAGCCAGACAATACAAGTTACCTGCACTAGTAATACTTTACCTGCACCAGTGCAAGCAGACAATACAAGTTACCTGCACTAGTAATACTTTACCTTCACCTCTGCAGCCATACAATACAAGTTACCTGCATTAGTAATAATTAACCTGCACCAGTGCAACCAGACAATACAAGTTACCTGCACTAGTAATACTTTACCTGCACCAGTGCAAGCAGACAATACAAGTTACCTGCACTAGTAATACTTTACCTTCACCTCTGCAGCCATACAATACAAGTTACCTGCATTAGTAATAATTAACCTGCACCAGTGCAACCAGACAATACAAGTTACCTGCACTAATAATACTTTACCTGCACCAGTGGAACCAGACAATACAAGTTACCTGCACAAGTAATAATTTACCTGCACCAGTGCAACCAGACAATAAAGGTCCCCTGAACTAGAATGATTTACTTGCACTAGTGCAATTAAACAATAAAAGTCCATTGCACTAGTAATAATTTACGTGCACCAGTGCAACCTGGATGTAGCAAAATCGACCCCTAAGATGGTGTTCTGACATCAGGTTTTGAACTCCATTTACTTACTCTACAAGAAGTTGTCCACGGTAATCATCTACATTTGTTAGTCTTGATATTTGCATGTTTCTTTAGTATTAATTTATTTTCCAGTTTGATCAGGCCTTTCATATGACTTATGGTTTAATAAACATATTACATGAGTGATCTCTGGAAATTATAGTTGGAATAAGTGGATAAATCTGGCTTAAGCTTAATCAATATCCTCAGTGTTTTACTTTGACTCACAAAACCTTTTCTCCACAACTTCCAATGGATTGGTTGTATGTCATTACAACATGGGGATGGGGTAGCCTAGCTGTCAGCTTCATGCTGAAGACCAAGGTTCAATTCTCCACATGGGTGCAATGTGTGAAGACCATTTCTGGTGTCCGTTCTAGAATATGCTGAAAGCATCCTAGACTCACTCACTCACTCACTCACTCCTTATAGTACACTAATCCATAACAGCTGAGATAGCATTAGAGAATGAAGACCTACAAACGTAATTGGGAAATCAGTACCTTTAATGTGAAGTGTTGAATATTTGTGTTACGAAGATATTTTGTTAACTTGTTTCCTACCATACAAGTGTTAAGTTGTGCATGTACACTTTTTGTATGTACTACTACTGTGTTGTATAATGAATGTAGAAATAAACATGATGTGCCACTGTTATAGTTATACTTACTTGTTTATAATATGACAGTGTTGAATACAGGTAAAGAAATACTGGGTAATATGATCAAATGCTTCATACCTCTGGAAATTATTGATATAATGGTTGCTCATATTGTGTGTAATTATGACATTCAGTTAACAGTTTTATAAAACAATATGTTGAATAGTAGTACAATGGGTCCCCAGTACAACACACATGTCTCAACTTGGGATTAGGTGCCCAGTACTCCATACTGGTTTCAACATGTGGGTAAAAGGCTCCCTGACCCATAGGGGCGGTGAGGTAGCCTAGTAGTTAAGCGTTCGCTCACCACGGAAGACCCTGGTTCGATTTTCCCACATAGATACAATGGGTGAAGCCCATTTCCGGTGTCCCCCGCTGTGATATTGCTGCAATATTGCTAAAAGCAGTGTTAAACCAAACTCACTCACTCACTCCCTGACCCATACATTTCTCAGCTTGAAGCTTCATGGTAAGTGGGGTCACGTCTCCAGCGATGACTCAACATGTCTCCTGTGCACCATATGTGTCTATACGCAGAATATGTGTGATGTGACCCATGATTGTCTCCTTTAAGAAAACGCTGCAGAACAGCATGCTAGAGTATACATAAGATATGTTGTGAGTGTGCCATGCTTCCTACAGCAGGTGATCTTTGGTGGATTAAGTGCCCACTACAACATAGAATTGTCTCCATGTGATCTCGCACAGGGATGTTTTGTTTGCACCTACTTATAATAATAATAATAATAATAATAATAATATGACAATCAATTATGGAGGTCGGGGTTTGATCAATGTGGAGGCTCTTCATGATAGAACTTTACTGTGTACTTTTGCACATATCTATTTATCGGATGATCCTCTGGTGATGCATGTGAAGACTCATGATGAAAGCAAGGAATTCCACAGCTATTTTAAGCGTGCCAAGGTTGTTGGACACAATCGGAAATTTGAGGTTGATTTTGTTAATGGCAATGTACTGCTGGACGGTACAGCGATGGGAGTAAACCAGGTGAAGTTATTCACCAAGTCTGCTCAGAGTCGGTCTTTTGTGGAGAAGCTTTCTGAGAAGCCATTGCATCGTGTGTACATGGAGTGTGTGGAACAGAACAGCAAACCAACCGACTCCTTCGCCTGGATGAAGTCGGCTGGTCTCAAATGTTAAACTGAGGGTTTCCTTTTTGCTGCATGGCTCGTTGCTTTTACTACCGTCTTCGTCATGCTTGTGGCTTTGACACCGAGGTCCATCCATGGTACGACCCTGAACATGTCCAGGGCGTCATGGAAAATGCTTTCAAACTTCCGTGGAATAGGCCCATATACAACCTCAGAAGAATTCCAACTAACAAACCTGATCTTGTTCTTTTTGATAAAGCCAATGAATTTATTTATATCATTGAATTTTCTGACCCTTTTGACAGCAATGTGATTGGCAAGATTCAGGAAAAGCAAGATAAATATGCGGACCTCGCCTTTGAAATGTCTCGCTTGCATCCCAAGTACACTGTCGTCAGGCTGCCAATTGTTCTCGGTGCCCTTGGTTTGGTACCTCCTGATCTCTTGGCGCAGATGAGGAGAGTGCCCGGGTTCTCCACCGGGAGCACAGCCCTTCTGACACTCTGGGTAATACAGAAGGCTGCAGTGTTGGGGAGCCTTCATATTCTCCGGAAAGTTCTTGGTGGGTTCGACTAGGCAGTGTTTCCTGGGAGAAGTCCCATTCGCTGTCTGGGCTGCGTGTAGTGGGGGCGAGGGCCCTGAGCTGATGATGAGCCTTACCAGCCTGACTGTGCCAGGATCACCCGACCCCTCTCTGCTGCATTTTCATCTTTAATCTGTAAAACATAATAATGTATTTATAAAGTGCCTAATATCCTCCGTAGAGATGCTCAGTGGCGCTGTGACAATACTGGGGAAGGAAATAGTTCATATAACTTTTACAGAAAGGCAGCAGTGAATAGATGGGTCTTTAGCAGAGTTTCTTTCGATGAAGTGTTCCTGATTTCCTTTGGAAGAAAGTTCCACAGTTGAGGGCTAACATTTGGTTTGGAGATCTGTGTTGGGTGAGGAGAGAGTCAGAGGAGGATCGGAGACTTCGCTGAGGTCCCTACACGGAGACGAGATGTTTGAGATAGTCGGGAAAGTTATCGTTGTAGAGGCAGTCATGAGTCAGAATGAGGATTTTGAAAGTAATTCTTGTAGAGATGGGGAGCCAGTGTAGAGACTGTAGTACAGGGGTGATATGGTCATGACGATGAGTGTGGGTGATACAACTGGCAGCAGAATTTTGGATTCTTTGTAGTTTCTGGAGTGATTTAGTAGAGAGGTTGTCATATAGTGAAGTACAGTAGTCGAGTTTGGAAGTGACAACACAGTGTATCAGAAGTTTACAGGTGTCAGTGAACATGTTGGAATCGAGGATGACACCAAGATTCCTGGCACTTTCTGATGGTAGGATGTCTGTGTCACCAATACGAAGTGAATGTGATGGCAAAGCAGTCTTCAACTTTTATAAGCTGATGTTTGGAGCCAATGAGAAGGAACTCTGTCTTCTCATTCAACATCAAATAGTTGGAGATCATCCACGATTTGATTTCATGAATGCAGAGCTCAAGTTCGTTGATATTGGGTGAAACATCATATAATTCAAAGGCAATGTAGATTTGCGCATCATCCGCATATATGTGGATACCAATGAAATGCCTCCTGATTAATGCCACCAATGGGGAGAATGTAGACTGTGTGAACAGAAGGGAGCCGAGAACTGATCCCTAGGGGACACCATATAACAATGGTGACTTTGATGATTGTACATTTTCGATTTTGATAGATTGTGTGAGACCTCGCAAATATGAGGAGATTCACTTGAGCACATTTTCTGTTATCCAAATGCGATGTTTAAGTTGATGCAGGAGTAGGGTATGTTCTATGGTGTCGAATGCGCTGGATAGATCAAGGAGCACAAGCGCTGTCACCTTCTTCTGGCCCATATTGACAAGGATGTCATAGTGGATTCGCATCAAAGCTGTCTCCGTACTGTGAGATGTCTTGTAGGCTGACTGGAACGATTCTGCGAGGTGGTTTGTTTCAAGATGCACCTTCAGTTTGCCAGGTACCACTTTCTCTAAACATGTAGGTATAAATGAAAGGTTGGAGATTGGACGGAATTCTTTCAAATTATTTTCATCAGCTCAAGGTTTCTTTAGAACTGGCGTGACTATTGCATGTTTAAAAGTACTAAATAGTATAGCACAGACTTCAACAGCCAGGTAGGAATGGGATCCAGTGGTAAAGATTTAGATGGTGCATTCTTCATGATATCCAGTACAAGGTTGACAGAAACGTGTCCGAAGCTTTCAAGCACATTACTAGAGAACTTGCTCTCATCAGACGTGGAGCTAGTTTGACTGTATCCTGTATCAAGATTGGTTCTTATCCGATGTATCTTGTCCTGAGAATGTAGCAAATGTCTCAACCAGAACAGTTGGGGTACTGTGCTCTGGAAGCTTTTGTTCAGAGTTACCCTTTAGAAGTTGGTTCAACAGTTTGAACAGCTCTTTTTGAGTTGTTCTTATTTTTGGTTATACCATCTGATACAAACTTTTTCTTTGCTGTTCTCAAGGCTGAGTTACTTTACTTCTGCTAACTTTATATATCTGGCGATGAACTTCGAGTTTGTTCCTGCGCCAAGACTTTTCAGCAGATGTTTCAAGTGTCTGACTTCATCATCATACCAACTTGTATTTGGGTACTTATGCCCTTAACCTGACTCTACTGTTAATAAAATTCATATGATTATGGATGATCAACTACTCGCCAGAGACGAAAAAGCCATGTAGTGAGTTCTTTCCTATGTGATTGGTTTGGTTGTCTGGCACTCAGCAATATTCCAGCTATATGACGGCGGCCTGAGTCTGGACCAGACAATCCAGTGATCAGCAGCATGAGCATCGTTCTACGCAGTTGGGATATGATGACATGTGTCAACCAAGTCAGCGTGTCTGATCACCCGATCTCCCGTTAGTCCCTGTCAAGAATGGGTTGCCGAAGACCAATTCTAACTTGGATCTTCTTATCTGATTGCATATCACAAGCACAATAGTAATTATATATACATATCAACACTGTCCGAGAGTAGTATGTTGTGCTCGATAATGCATATAACAATATATATACGCAGAAATATCGTCAAAAATACCAAATTTAGATAATTTCAAATACCACTCTATGAAAAGAGTTCTATTTTTTTTTTCTATACGTTTGTATATGTAAGAAATATTTGCAGAACTAGTGACAATACGCTCGCCAAAAGTGTTCTGGATAACGTAACCAGGGGCCAAACAATCTGCCTCCCTTCTGGTTTTAAGACTAATAAATGTAAATTCATAGGAAACATCCCACCTATTGACAGTTAACCTTTAAAGAAGCAAGTCAGGCTGACGGACCTTTTTCATCCACAGGAATTTGCCAAAAACTGATATCAGGGGCCGTAATTGTTAAAAAACAATATACAGCACCAATGTCAAACTCTTGACAAGTGTCCGTTGTGTACACATCCACACTTTATTTCATGGTATTTCAGACGTTTCTAAGAGAATCCATATTAAGTTGAAAATCACAGCACAGGGGCTTAAAACACCAATTTCCAACTACCTTTCAGATCGAACATCAGTGAGTATAATCTCATTTTTCCAGCTTACATTGTTTTTTCGGAATGTTGTCCCCAATGACGAACGTACGAATCAAATGACACTGACTAGTTAACTATATTGAATATGATGAGTAAAACCACTAAATCCGACAACACATTAATTAACGTTTGAATTAGTACGGTTCGCTAACAAGAATCTTCAGAAAAAGGTAGACGCATCATCGCGACAACACTCTATCAGCGTTAGGAGGGAGGAACCAGAGCTTTGAACAATTGCACCATTTGCACGTGCAACATGTGATGATTATGTAAGTAAATCGCATGGCAACGTACAACTAGCTGATTACCTTTGAGAAGCAGACATAAGAAAGAATGTACTACTCACCTGGTAACTATGTATACTGGTCTTACAGGTAAATATCTTTTTCAATCAGTAGATAATTAACAGGTGTGTCAAGCATAGCATGACAGGAACGTTTAACTGTCATGTTTGGGTTTGCCGGACACACACGTAGTTATTTAGGACATCTCTCATGTAATTTCACCCTGCAAATATACTTATGCCAATAATGGTTGTCACCCTTCAATTTTTTAATTGGAGAGGGGTGTGAGGTGTGGGGTGGGTGGGGGTGACTACCATTATTGGCATGAGTATACATTGGACCGAATCCGAAGGTAATAACTGATTGACCCGCTTCTCCGTGCACTCTGATCAATTCTTTTCTTGATCTAAACTCTTAAACTACATAAAAATAACTCTTAGTCCCATTGTGTCATAACCAGGCATGAAGTCATTGATAGTATGTTGTGTTTTGACGCAGTTATAATAATTCCAGCCATCAAGACCACCTGAAAAAAACTAACTTGGACTAGATCGCCACACAATCTTAATCAGTCGTATTTCTGACGACGGTGGGGTACCTAATTGTGTGATTGTGGGTTTAATGCCGTTGTTGCTGGAATATTGCTAAAAGCAAAACGTATCACCAGGTTGATGTTTAGAGGAAAGTCGGTAGTGATGCAGATTTTCCACGTTTTCCACTTTGTCGATACATATGAACACGAATATGCTGACAGACCTAGAAGCATAACCGATGCAAACCTCGATTCGAACTTCATGTCATGTTTCGTGCATGCTCATGGGATGCAAATCTGACGTCTGGTGAATACTGTTGGCAAGTTTTACCCCGGGATGTGGGTAACAATGACAAAACACTGGATTACAGATCGAGGGTTGACAGTTGATCGGAGAATTATCATATTTCGATTATAGTAGTGTCTATAAGATGGGGTCCAATGTCATTCGCCTAAGCCATAGTATTTGACAACAGTAATTTCAGAAGGTTAAAAAAATGAGAATTTGGAAGCAGTTTTAGGAATTCGACTATAGCTTCTTCACATATGAAACATTACCCGTGAGACAAGAATACTACTGTGCAACCATTTACCTCGAAATATTTGTTCCTGTTTACCTGAACGAGTCTGAGCGACTGAAAGCGCAGAACTAACCAGTTTAGCTTCAAGCTGAATTTTGATGGTAGGAATAGTTCCCGCAGTAATAATAATATATGACTAACTAAAACAATTCTTGCAGATATCGACAAGTGATGTGGGTTTTTTTCTTTCCAAGGAATAAAATGATATATATTTGAAAGTAAGCTATTTTAAAGTTACCATTAAGGCAAAACACTTAATATGTGTACATGCACATGTATTATCCTTATTAAATATGACTACTTCACATATTCAAGGAGTAGGAAGCAAATGCTGATCTGTTGTCGATTTACATGTAATACTAACTTTGTGTTCAAGTACACTTTACAAACATATTGCCTTTTTATGTGGTTAGTGTTAATTTGCATGGAACAGCAAATATATGCTTGAATATCTTAACACGGAGCATTGACAAAAGTGAACAATTCTCTGATATTATCACCGTAGCCACCGTACGCTTGATTTCAATCAAAGAAATGTCTATGCGTAAACTTTAGCCACTCCTTTGTTCAGAATGGAACTAAGGGCAACAGTGACGTCATAAAAGAACTTCTTCATGACGTCATACCATTATCATTCACACTACAGCCACCGCCACAGGCTAATTTGCATATCACCGGATCAAATCAAACGCGCATATTCATAATAAGAAGAGACTGGACTCACGAGAGCTTTCGGCGCGCTCTTCATAATGTTTTACATTGTTACGTATATATTCTCCTTTGTTCAGTACATATTTAGATATCAAACTGGGCAACATCGTTTGCTCTCTGTTGGCTTCGATGACAGCACGTGGAGCCGTTGTGTAAACAAAGGATCGCTTCGCAAATCGAAATAGAATGTTTTGGATATTTTCTACTAAACCATTCTATTAAAGATGTTTAGTTAGATGTGTAGACTCGTCAAAAATAAAAGAGTAAAAAGAAATCCATTATATTGAATGTACGTTGACGACAATCGTCACATTTTCTGGTGCATTCCCACCTTGGTGATTGCACAGTGCAGAGGGAAACATTCTACCATCTACGGATTCAGAATAATATATTACGTCGACTCAAGGGCATCCGTTATTTCAAGGTGGGTATGATTTGGAAGTGTGCGGTTGTAATTAGTTTAATTATTTGTATGACTTAGCAAAACATTTTATCCAGACCCCTTTATTCGCAGTTTAGCTCATGTAAAAGATTTTGTACTTTGGATCACAGTGGACGGGAAATTTCTAATATTACCTATATTTTGTAAGTTTGTAACAAACCAAATTAGGACATGTTAAGTAAAACCACAGATTCAAGTTTGTATTCACTTTGTGGAAGAGAAAAAACAATTGTCATGTGACGTAGTATGACTATGACGTCAACATTGTGTACTACGTCACGTATTTACGTCTATGACGTCACTTCATTGTCCTGCTGCGTCAGCGAGACTATCGTGGTTCTATGAACTGGATGCTTTTCAACTGGTATTCACCAAAATCTTTGAAATTAAACTGTCAAAGTGATCATCTGTACCAGCAAAGCACGAGGTAGGATAATTCAATCAGGTTTTAATGACATTGTTAATTCACGAACAAATGCGAAACATAACAATGTGTACAACTGCGCTTGAATTGTCTCTGTTCACAGGTTGGCAACCATGGCTTTTTCCGCAAGGGATGGGTTAGTGCAAAAGCTGAAGGTAAGAATAACATGTTTATGTAGAGCAATATTTTCCAAGTCACCAAGCCTGTAAGTACCGACTGAGAACAGTATGTACGGATTATCTCCAAGGAATTATTATATACAAGGAATATTCATGACTTCAAACATTTTTACACTCGCACAACAGCATCTGGGTTGATGGGAAGATTCTGGATTATTTTCTGGCATTTACAAATTAAAATATTTAGAATTAAACGCATTAAGCTGCCTGAATAATGAAATCCTGTATACCTGTATTTTAACATTAGCCATTTGTTATCAGGAGGATAGAGACCAACTCGCCTTCCAGTTTGGCAGCCTTGAGAAGTTTTTGACGGAAGTTCGGGAAGAACGTGTTGTGATGAACAGAGATATGAAATCCTACATGTCGGGTAGGCACCTTCACAGACGTACATTCCTAATTTCTTTGGACACAAGACCTGTGTTGCCTCGCTTTGGGAATGAGCCTGCCTACACGAACACAAACATGAAGCAATGCAAATATGCGTTCAAGCCTCACTTTGCATGATTTTGTTTTCTGAGGAAATTATACACCATTTCAACGCACACCCAGGTCAACTTGCTTTCTTCTGGCACTAAATCTTGTCTGTCAACTTGGGACTACGTAATTCCCAGATTGCATACCGCCTTTCAATGTTTATATCTCAATAATAACCAAAAGGATATTGATGTCAATTCTTAAATGTACAAATATTCATGATATATATTATTGTGCAGAGTTTCAAAGTGTAATTTTAATATTCGATATTGGCACAGAGCTTCCAGGTCTTGGTTACTGTCGAAAGGGAGACCGCCTGAAAGGGATTGAGTTCGGACAAAGGTAGGGCTCAAACAGATGTTGAAAGTTTAAAATTTGGTTGAAACAAATGCACTGTACAACCACTATAAAGTATGATTTGGATCATAGGTGTCAAAAATGACAATATTGACCTCGATTAGATCCTTATGAATATTACAAACATAAAATCTTCATGCGGAAATCCATAGCCATTTTTTTTTAAATGACCTTCACCACTTTATCAATACATTGTCATTCTGAATTTATTTTATGAAAGCTGGAGCGTGCGTGCGTGCGTGCGTGCGTGCGTGCGTGAATCTATATATAAAATTGATAATGTTGTAAGAAGCTACCCAAAAGGTCAAGTTGTTAGTTTGTTACTATTTTAGTTGTTCATTTGTTTAATTTGAAATTTTGAATAGATCAGTTTGTATCCTCCTACGGACTATTTTTCTGTATGCGCGCGCATGTTTGTAGGGAGGTTGGGGGAGTTATTGCTCCAGAACTCAGATTTTCACCTGAGTGATAGTGTATCACTGTTCCAAGATGGCGCAGTACAACAGCACGGAGGCAATTATGGCAATGCGTCTTTTTATCAGGATGCTCTGTTGAATTGTCGTTCTATTCATTGAGATTTTTTGGAGTTTAATCTTTAAGTTACAAGAACTGTCTATTTACATTTTGTATCTTACAGTCAAAACGCCTCAGTTACCAAGGGAGACAACTGATGGCATCCATGGAGAAAGAACTCTGGGAGATGGACATTGAGATTATCAGGCTGAGCAAACATGTGCTTGGTGAGACCAACATGCCCAACATGCCTCACCCTGATTGTCCACAAACTCCTAAACAAGAAAAGTCCACTGACACTCCAAGCACAAGTGCGGACATCGCTTGTAGGGACCATGTCAAAGTACAGATTGAACCAGCAGAGGTACTTACCGCATTTCCTCAAATAATCGCCTTCAATTTGTAGATAATGATTCAGTAGAAAGATGACCACTGTCTGTTGTTATTTAACATATGAACCATGAACCACTTTTTATAGTTGAGACAATTCAATTTTAGGGGGGGGGGTGTAGGAGGGGGTGATTTTAAGTGGGGTCACCCATTTTTTGTTCTGGGAAGGGGGTGGGGTGTTTGTAATCAATTTTGTGCACATATACTGGGGCGGTGTGTCAGCAATTTTGGTACATATATATTTAAAATTTATGCTCACAAATTTATGGGTGGAGGTGGGGTGTCATTGATTTTGTACATGACATGCAGTGGGTCACTTACTTTGTACACACATTTTAGTGGGGGAGGGGCTCATTTACATTGTACATGCTTCTCCTTATAAAGCGTCATCACCCCTCTAGCCATAAATTATGAACGGTCCCTTACTGCAGTCCAAAGCATAGCCAAGATGATACTATTTACAGCCTAATTCTTAGATAATTCAGGCATTTGCAGTCCAAAGCATAGCCAAGATGATACTATTTACAGCCTAATTCTTAGATAATTCAGGAGTTTGAAAGGTATGTTAAAATTCCTTGCAAGAAGAATAAAACAACATACATTGATATTTTCAACAGTTCTCAGTATTATTCTTGTATTCTTCAAGACTTTGGCTGGACCACGGAAAACAGATAGTTCTATCGCAGTGGACTCCAAGAAGTTACCAAAGAATAATATCCTCCAGAAACCACACACTGACATTTGCACACAGCTCGTAAGTATTACTGAATTTGTGAGCTATTTCAGTTTTTCCTTGAGTTTTCATAGAATTTACGAAGGTAAATTTGTATAAACAGAAAAGTACAGTTTTTGTAAAAAAAAATTGTATATACCTCAGGACATGATTACCAATTTTGTAAGCCACTTGTATCATCGCTGCTTTTCAGTGAATCATTCACCACCATTTTGCCTTTGATACAAGTGGAATCTTTCAGGCAAAGAACACACAGCTCATGACAGAAATATTACCGTGTCAACTTCTGTTAAGTAGTTCAGCAGATACGGTCAAACACTGTTGTGTAAAACTTGCATTTGGCTCAAAGTAAAAGCATCATTTGCATCATTTTGTTTTTGTGTCGAACCTTGATAACTCGAAGGACTTGCGTAGGTCTCTTCATCTTCCTTACAACAGGGTTTGACAACAGTTGTTACTGCTGCTGGGTCTAACTTTGATGCATCATATATATTTTTGCTTGTTTGTACAATGACCAAGATGACTGGGTTTTGCAGGGGGTATTCAAATGGACTCCGTCCGTGCAAAATTGTCTTTTCCAGAGCAGAACATAAAAAATGTTCACTATGTCTTCACCAAACTTGGCACATAGATAGGTCTGGTGGTGAACTGGTGCCTTTTGGTAGTTTTGGATTTCTGAATAATTTTTTTTTGCATTTCCATGGCAACAAGTTTGACTTGATTGAAATTGGTGTTGGTGTTGTTTTTCCAGAGCAGAAAATTAAAACCGTTTATTAGTTCTTCACCAAACTTAGCACATAGATAAGGTCTGAAAGTGAACTGATACCTTTTGGTAGTTTTGGACTTCAGAATAAATTTATTTCGTTTTGCATTTCCATGGCAACAAGTTTGACTTTGACTGAATATGGTGATAGTACTCCTTCCCCATGTTTCCGGAGCAGAACTTGAAAGCATTTCGATGGTTCGTCATCAAACTTGGCACATAGATAGGTCTGGCGGGGAAACCTTTCAAAACTCTCCGTCCACTTTGTGGGTATTCAAGAACCAACCAGTGGGCATATTCATGAAGAGTATTTTACCATTGCGGGGGATATTGATGACTTTCTCTTCTTGTCACAAAATGAAAAGTGAAGTCTCTTGAACCTTACTCGCATACTTCAGGACAAGCCCAACCCCTGAAGATCCGGGTTACAATTGGTCTTCAGCAACCCATGCTTGTCACAAGAGGCAACTAATGGGATTGGGTGGTTAAGCCCACACCCTTGGTTGACACGTGTCATTGTATCCAAATTGTGTAAATCAGAGCTCATGCTGTTGATCACTGGATTGTCTGGTCCAGAGTCAAGTATTTACAGACCGCTGCCATATAGCTGGAATGTTGGTGCGTGCAGCATTAAACAACAAAAACAACAACTAACAAACAAGATAAGATACTGTTTGGAATTTTGCTGTTAATGTTATGATTTTGATAGTGTCATTGAATTACTTTGCCAGCCCCTCGTGTTCACTAGGCTGTTTTTCGAAGCCTAATAGAAAAATTTTGAAAAGGTGAGTGGACACTCTTGCCTTAGGAAGTTGACTGTCCTTGTATGTTATTTTTTGAGACTTTGTTACCTTGACTTAAGTGTATTATGTACTTTTTATATGCAGGAGGAGAGAGACAGATTTGGCGTTGAGTTATCCCAATGTGAGAAGATTTTGGTTGAAATACGTAAAAACCGAATTTCCTTCAACAAACAGATGAAGCTGTTGTTGAACGGTAAGCTAGTATTGTAATATTATGTTCATCTAAACGTTCCATGTAATTAAGTTGTTAGTTAATTTTGAACAGTTTAATATAAATTGAATATTTATATATACTACTCAAAACAAGTTAAGGGTCAAAACTTTTAATGGCCATAGCTACAAATATAAATAACAGTAAAATGTAGCGATCATATAACAACTCGAGCCAACATTTCATGATAACAACAACGGGAGACAAAAACAGCAGGAATGCCAGTGATTGCTGATCAATAAGGTCAAAGTGACCTACTGTCAGAAGTGAAAATTCAAACGCCAACATTGGACTAATAACGGATGTAAACACCTCGATCAGTAAGACAAGCAGTACACCTCTGTCTCATACTGTTCACCAGACGTTGGAAGAAGGCTTGGGGTATTGTCTGCCATTCTGCAATGAGATACTGGGCCAGTTCTGCACGGTTGTTTGGAGGGGCGTGGTTGTTACGAAGCCGACGTCCTTACTCGTCCCAAGCATGTTCCATAGGGGCTAAATCTGCTGATTATGCCGGGCATTCCATGTGCTGAACATTGTTCTGTCACGGAAGTCCGTCCACAACACGGACACGGTGTGGTCGGGCATTGCCACCTTCAATATGGATCCGACGCCCGGTACGCTTGTAAACATTGCAGAACAAGGGGTCTGATAATCTCCCGTAGATAGCAATTTCCGGTCAGGGTACCATTAATGACATAGAGAGGTGTCCTATTGATGAAAAGAAAACGCACCCCAAACCATGACACCCCCGCCTCCAAATGGCAAACGTTGGTTGACGTTAACGTCAGCAAACCTCCCTCCTGGACGCCGATACACACGAATTCTACCATCATTGAACTGTAGAGTAAACCTAGACTCGTCGGAGAAAACAACTGATGCCCACTGAGCACGTTGCCAACGAACATGGCGTCTACACCAGTCATGTCTTGCCGTCGTGTGTCGCTGAAGGAGCGGTGGTCGTACTGCTGGTCACCTTGCCCGAAGATTGTTCCTGGTCAATCGGTTCCTGACAGTCTGACCAGATACCAGGGTAGTTCTCAGTTGGTCACAGAATTGTCTGGCAGCTACTCTGCGTTATGGGAGAGCCATATTTGTCAGATATCGGTCTTCTCTAGGAGTTGTTGATGGAGGCCTGCCAGAACGTGGTTGATTAGTCAGCGTTCCAGTGACACGAAACCGGTGCCATAACCTTCCAATGACACTCTGACTCACATTTAGTCTCTGAGCCACACTGTGTTGAGGTTCGCCATCTTAAAGCCATGCAAGAGCTCTTCCTCCGTCTTTCATGCTCAGTTGACGTCATGCCATTGTTGAATTTCAAGTGACAATAACAATGCGACAATTATAGGGAAGTTTTATAGGGAAAATAAGCATGCACAGCACTAATCCCACGAAGAACACGTGCACATGTTGTTCATGATGTAACATCATCTTTCACACGCACAGTGGTGGCGCTTCTGTGAAGCACTCGATGTTTCAATTTGTTCATTTTGTAACACCCTACCACATGATGACTATTGGCACCATGGTTATCTGCAGCCTTTCTCCAGGTTCTGCAATGGTTTTGAATAAACTGCCATACACGGAATGTAAAATTTTATTTATACATAATGCAACCAGCCTCATCAATAACATTACATGATGACATCGCATGACCCTTAACTTGTTTTGAGTAGTATACTTATCCTATCTCACGACTTGCACCTCTCTCTCTCGCTTCGACTTTTAGTGGAACGACTGTAAACTTTATTTCCATAGGCCTCCTTGTCCATTCGTCCGTGCACTCCATTGACATCAAGCGCATGCAGTTCAGATATACGAGCAGGGGAAACTCAGCAACGACCTGAGCAGAGGTGGAAGTGGGAGATGCAATTCCCCTAACCTTGCAATAGTCTTCAAACTTCTTTCACTTGTTGTCGTACAAGGAACAGGTCGAAGTACGATGCGCTGAAGTGATAGCTGTGGCCACTCAGGGAGAGTAGCCCTTAGCTATGAGAGATCTCTGAAGATGCGCCAAACATGTAGATTGAGGGTCTGAGGTGACCCATGGCACAGTTCTGAGTGAGGGTGAAGAAGTAGGTCGTCCCGGTTTGGAAGCATTACTGGGTTTGGCTCTGCCAGCTTCTTAGGTTGACGAACCAACTTCTCGCTGGTCAGAATGGTGCGACCAAAAGCAGTAGTATGTTGCTGGTGGCAGTTTCTGTATTACTTTTGGTAGCAGAGCTGGAGGGGGAACGCGTAGGCATTGAGACTCTCCCATGATATTGCCAGAGCGTGGAGGTCCCAAGCCATGGGGTCTGGGATTGGTGATACGAACTTTGGAAGTTGGTTGTAGAACCTTGTGGCGAACAGATCTATTTGGGGCTGTGATAACGGGAAGATTATCGACTGAAAGATCTGGGGCAGTAACTTCCACTCTGTCGGGGACGGTCGGTTGGATCGGGACAAGGCATCGGCGATCACATTTTTTACCCCGGGAATATGTCTGGCTCTGGCTACGATGTTGAGTGTGTCGATGAGATAGAAGAACCTGATCACCCATTGTAGCAGATTCGCCGAGCATGTCGAGCCTAGATTTTATATACCAAGCACTGTCGAATTGTCTGATTGGATCAGCAGAGTGGTTGATTGAAGCTCCGTTGCCCAATGTGAGATGGCTTGAATTACCGCTTTGAATTCTAGCTCGTTTATATGAAGTACCCGTTTGTCGGATGAACACAGCCCGACCACTTTGTGGTCGAGGAAGTGATCTCCCCAGCCCATGAGGGTGGTGGTGCAAAGGGCATCATAGAGACTCCGGCGCAGATATGCCGTTCGTCAAGCCACCATTGAAGGACTGGACGAAGCGGTTCTGGAAGGCAAATCAGTTCCTTGGGGTTGTCGGCCTGAAGATACGGGCATAGAAATCGCTGTATCGGCCGAAGTTGGAGCTGGCCTCTGTACGTTAAGGCTTGAGCTGACGTCAGAAGGCCCAGTAGCTCCTGCCACTGCCGTAAGGTTCTTGCCTTAGACAGCGCTGGAGGAATGCATCGCTGAATCTTTATCCACCTGTCGTGAGGGATGACATCTCCTGACAAATGTCGAACAGTGCTCCGATGAATTGGAGTCTCTGAGTCAGTATTAGTTCCGATTTCGCGATGTTCAACAGCCACCCTAACTGTCTGAGCAGCGTTGTGGTGAACTGAAGCTGGTGAAGCAATACGATCGGATCCTGTTGAGCCTGGATGCAATCGTCTATGTAGCTTTCAAAGGGGATCCCTTGAAAGTGAAGGAAGGTCGTGATGGGCTTGGTAATTCGGGTAAAAAGTCACGGGGCCGTGGAAATTCCAAATGGTAGGACTTTCCATTGGTAGTGATTCCCGTTGAACATGAAGCGAAGGTACTTCCGGTGTTCTGGAAGTATCGGAACGTAAAGAAAAGCATCCCGAAGATCTAGGCTGATGAGGAAGTCTCCCTTCTTCAGGATGTTGCGTAAGAGGTTGATCGACACCATCCTGAAGTGAGGCGGTGGAAGCAGGAATCGGGCATTGAACAACTTCATATTGAAAATGAGCCGGAGTTTGTAGGAGTATTTCTTTGGAACCAAGAAGATGGGGGGGAGTAGAATCCTGGAGTGACGGGCGATGGACCTAGGAGCTCTATTGCGAGTAGGTCTAATAGCGTACCTATTGTGGATTGCAGAGTCTGAAGCTGGTCCACAGGATATGAGTGATGAGCCGGATGCGACGTCAGAGGTGGACTGCCAATAACGGGTAGCTGGTAGCCGTGAAGTAGCAGGTTGGTGACGTTCGGATCTCTGAGGATGGTCCAATTCGGTGCGAAGATCTGTAATCTCCCGCCTACCGAAGTGTTGTAAATCGGAACGACTGGGGGCGGGAGGTCCCAGTCCTGCGATTGTCTCAAGCTGTCACTGCTTCCCGGCACTGGTCCCTGGGCCAGAGTTGGTCCTGGGTGGGTGACGGGAGGAACCACCACGGCCAGATCTATTTCCTCTGTGACGGCCTTGAGTGGATGCGCCATGATAAAGATTGCGTAAATCCGCATTTGTAGGGGTGAACTCTGCAGTTCGACGCTGTATTAATGAGTCCTGGAGCTGTGACTTCTGTATCTTTAACAGTTCAATCGAGACTTGAAAGTGGGTTTCTTTATCAACTTTAGTAGATACTTCTTTGATGCTACCATTGAAGAGGGAGTCAGTAAGCCATGGCTGGCGAAACAGTTCTGTTTTAAGTCGCTCCTCCCATGAAGAGATGTTAAGGGGTCCACGTCGTCGAACAGCAAGAGTGTAGCCCAAAATATGAGACAACTGATCCAGGATAATTTGGAACTGGTCCAGAGCTAAGGTCATGCATCCTGAGATGTAAGCGTCTTGATCAGTGTAAGTATGCTCCAGAACAGAGTTGACAGCGTCGACTGCTGCAATCACGTCACTTATAGATGGCAACATCTTTCTCACGGCTGTTCCCATGTGAGCCAACTCTCAGTCCTCAATAAGGTAGGGCAAAGCAGCTCGTTTGCCACACAGGGTTCCAATGTCCTCATCAACTGTTGGAGCCGTGGAGATTTTTTGTTAGGCCGTAGACATGAGAGGTAGAAGGATTATATCTGGGAGCAGGAAATCCGTCCTTAATTCGTTTCAGGCTCTTGAAACCATCATTTAGTGTACTGGATAATTTCAGAATACAAGGTCGAGGTGGTAGGGTGATAGTAGACCAAACCCGGTTCCTAACAGTATAAGATCCAGATCATCTGCTGAAGTACTCAAGGGAAGTTGGAGCTTCTCAACAATCCAAATGAGTACCTGAGCTGTCTCAACTGCTGCAAAGCTACCCCCAGAGGAAGATAACTCAGAGTGAGCTGGAGATGCAGGCATGACTATTTGGACTGGATCAATCTCAGGAGGTGGACCAGAGCCAGGTGCTATCGAAGCCGGATGGGCTGGAGTAGAAGGCTGTATTTGGTTCCAGGCTGAGGTTATGGCCCTGATCATCATATTTAGATCCGGAGTCGCTGTAGGAGTGGGATTGTGATCAGGTTCCCATGACTCAGCGATGATCCTAGAGTGAGTCGAAGGATTCTCAGAGCGTGAAGGCAGAACATCGTAAGAGACTGTAGGCCTATTAGTGGTATCAGAACAATGATCATCCGAACATCGGTCAGAGGAACTGTATCGAGATCTCGACGTAATAGGTACCGAAGTAGGTTGGTAAGCCGGTGATGTGGATTCCTAGTATGGCTAGGTGATCCGGTATGATATGAAGAAAGAGTCCGGGTCGCTGTAGTTCTAGTTGGTGATCTGGATCTGATTGGAGCTCTGGCTCGACCATCTGAATAGGATCGGTCATGAGATGTGGATCTGTACTGTGATCCCGATTGGTCAATGGCTCTGTAAGGTGATCTAGATCGTATAGGTGACCTGGGTCGGTAAGATGATCTGGATTTGTAAAGTGATCTGGATCGATTCGATGCACTAACTGGAAACTGTGATCGTGATCTGGATCTATAAGGTGATCTGGTTTGCAGTTGCGATCTGGCTTGATTTGTTGATCAGGATCGGTTAGGTGATGTACTTCGATGTTGTGATCTGGATCGGTTCAGTGATCTGGATCGGCCCGGCGATATACTTCGATGTTGTGATCTGGATCAGTTAGGTGATCTAGAACGGTCCGGTGATCTGATTTGAAGTTATGATCTGGATCCATTCGGTGATCTGGATCAGTCCATTGATCTGATTCGAAGTTGTGATCTGGATCCATGTGGTGATCTGGATCAGTTAGGTGATCTGGATCGGTCCGGTGATCTACTTCGATGTTGTGATCTGGATCGGTTCAGTGATCTGGATCGGTTAGGTGATCTGGATTGATCAGGTGATGTGGATCGTAGTTGTGCTCTGGATCGTGACTGTGATCTGAACGTCCCCTGGCGACGCTGTGGTAGCCAGCTCCGTCCGGTTCAATGAACTGTGGGGTGACAGTTGGCTGGTAGAACGCGGTTGGCCAGGCTCCAAACAAACTGAGACAGTCGAGGGGATATGTACCGATGATCTGGAAGATGATAGTGTCGATCTAAGGTCCCCTGGTAGTGTAGATGGGACAGGCAACGATGGATTATTGATCACAATCACCCGCAAGTGATCTGACGCTATGGAAGGAGGTGATTGGTGCGCACGTAATAGGTGCCGAACGTCCTCAGATAAGTAAGAATCTGATGAAGTGTCCATAAAATCCTTTTGAAACACAGACGTCGCTCTCATGCGTGAAGGTACGATTTTCTGTCGCTGTAACTTGATACGCTTGGCGGGAGTGGGATCAGATTCTGTTGATTTCCTGTCCGTATCGGCGATTCTCCGGGAGCAAACACAAAGGTAGGCCTTAAAATCCTAATCTTTAGTGAATTACACTTGCCACATCGTTTGTTCCAGTTACATTGTCCAATACGGTCACTGCAAGACGAGTGAGGGTCGAGGGACGAATAATTCGTCTTGCATTGAGCACAAACTTTCCTTTTCCTTGACTGATTATCTGTTTTCCCCATGATGTTAGGGTGAAATAATGTCCCTAATATACAGCACGTCCACACAGTCGTGCGACAAGAAAGAGAATGATCATTCAAGGTAGTCACGTGGGCAATTAGTGGGGCATGCTGCAAGCTTCATTAGGAACTAGGAAGCTAATTAACTCATTAAGCCCGAGAGCCCCATCACTACTCAACACCTGGAAGCCCTCGCTGATTGCCCACTCTCTGTGCCGAGACTAATTAGTGCTAGTCACACCTGATTTCCCTGGCAGGTTTCGGGGATCACAGGAAACTGTCTAGTTGTACAAACAAGTCCTGATTGTTTAATTGTGTCGTCAAAGATATATGTTGAAAGAAATCAGGTGTGAATACATGTCGTGTATTGCAAGCTTTATGTAATTTGATTGCAAGTTTCTCTTGTAGACCTTTTGTCGGCTTGTACATTTATATTTTATCACAATATGCATACACATGTATTCTTTGTATGTAACAGATGAGACACACGTTAACAAATTCTCTCTCTTATATCATTGTGTTCGGTTTAATATTACAAAACATCTATGACAATGACATACTGTAAAGAAGAATTTACTTTCATACTTTATAATCTTCGACGAAAATAGCGGTTTTGCCGATACATTTCTAGTGTTTACGAATTATTTTAAAGAAAGTACTATAACGCTAGTCTGTGACTAGCACAAAGCACATTCATAGCATTGCACTTTATTTCATACAGATTTAATGCAGAAAACATACGTGACCATACAAACATACATATACAAAATGTATACTACATATTCCTTGCATAGACATAAAACAAAGAGTCACGTGATAGGGCGTCATCAAATTTCCCGAATAGAAAGTTTGGTATCTCAACTGTTCAATGTAGTGGCTGGTCATATGTTATCTGCGACCAATGTTATCTGCGACCAATGGTATCATGAGATACCTGTCACAGAGGAAAGGACAGGTGACGGGGCGTGGGCGAAATTTCTGAAGAGCACGTTTGGTCACTCAGCAGCTTGGATAGAGATTGGTTATTGGCTATATCCTTGACCAGTCGATATGCTGGGTTTCGGCTTTATCAACTCAAGCTATCATGTAACAGTGTGTGTATTGGAAACATACACACTGGTAACGATGTATGAAATATACACATAAGACAAATAGGAGTAGATAGTCACTTTGGGGAGATTATTTGTCCTCATTTTAGTGTTTTCGATAAGTAAAACAAAGCGATTGAAATCCAACCACTGAGTAGAGGTAGTATTTATTTTCATATACATTATATGCACACAACTAGTACATAAAACATAATGGTTTGCTGTACATGTAAATATAATCTTCACCTTGATACGAATGACTATCCAAACTAGAGTACACGCATTACAGAATTCACGAGGTGACACTATACTGAATTATTATAGTGTATAAACTTGCAGTTGACACCCCAACCCCCAATATTTATGAAGGTGGGCGTGCCTATATCTTTACTGAATGCAAACAAGGTTCATAAGATTACAGATGTGCATGCATGTATAAACATCACAGAGAGGGGCGTGACTCCATAAAGCAAGATGTCCAATGATATAACAGCGCATCTGTTTATTTTACACTTGTCACGGGACAAACCTTTCAACAAGGACGTAACTACATATGCATTCTACCGGAGGCTGTTATTTCAAGGTCGAAAGAGGCGTTTAATTATCTCATAACTGTAATCTGCTTGAATGATTATACGCATGTGTATCGATACCGTAACTGATATACTATCCAGCTTTTATTGACGATGGTTGATTGATACACGTGATAATTGCACCCGGATTTGATAATTACACAGATCAAATACAAACGTTTTACAGAATGCTCATGTAAATTGCATAGAAAACTGACAATTCAAATCAACATGAAACTTTCAACAGCTTGAACAAAAATGCTTGAAATACCTTTGTATGGCTTACATGTAATAACTTATGATATTACTTCTGTCCATGTGTGACAATGTTTTGAATTACCAACTTACTGTCTTTTGTAACAAACGTAGTAAAACATTTCATTGTTGTAATAACACTGACATGTATATATGTATTCGATGCAAAGGCGCGACTTATCACTTTATATTCGCTTAGGTAACATTGCGAACTTTTGATTATGGAAAACAACTAGTTACAATTCAGTAAACTTCAAATTAGTAAGTTCAATTATGTTTAATCTATTCGAGCTTGGATGTATAATTACTTGTGTTTATACATTATGTTTCAGTATATGAAACATGACAACGTAATGATGCCTAAAAGTAAATTCAAACTATTCTATTGTGTTTGAATTCTTTGTATGTCCTTGAAATTTCAGTATATTGTTTCCTATTTATTAGGTAGTTGAAGGAAATATAATTTTTAGTAACCTCTAAACCATTACATCTAATTCAATCAAGGTGCATACGAAGTATTTTAGTATCCATTCCCAAAGAAGAGTACCAGGCACTTACCTCTGTAAAAACATCATAATCCCCTTTCTCGCCGACTTGTGCGTTCATTTGCTAAACGCTGTACAAGCCTATGATAATGATTAGCAATTGTTATCAAAACACTTTAAATACTTCTTCTGATTGATACTAAAGGTGGGATCTCTCGTAAGAAAAGCTAACATTTGCTCAGTACTGCTAAATTGGTTGAAATAATAGGTACAGTGCGATTTTTAAAAGTACAACACACATGTGCGTCTCTCGCTGAATAAGAGGTGCTTTCTGTTGATGACTGTATGTGGCCTTCGCTGTGAGAAACTGCTAATTACCTGCCCCATAAACACGTCACTCGCTGTGAGGAGCTGATTAATTTGCCCCATATATGCGTCTCTCGGCCTTAATGAGTTAAGGAGAGCAGCATGGAGTTCATGGGCGAATGGACAAGGAGGCCTATGGAAAAATGTTTACAGTCATAAGCGATAGAGAGAGGTGCAAGTCGTGAGATAGGATAAGTTTAGAAATTAGTTCTTACTCAAGATATATGATGAATATAACATATATATACAAAGAATAGTGTGAAAACTCATCCTCCATCTTCAGATATTGCAGCCCTACATAAGGTCACCCAAGGTGCCAGGTTAAATAGCCTCAAAACTAAAGTGACCACATACAGAAATCAGGTAGGTTGTGTTTATTGTTTGTGTGTGTGTTGTTCTGTATCTAATTTCAAGGGGTGATTGGCTATGTGTTTGCATCAATGGTATTTACAATTCAATTTTGTCTTTTATGGTTTATGTTCGAAAACTAAAAGAGAATAGCTGAACCTTTAACTCTTATTCATACTATTACCCTCTCTTGCCAGTAGCTTGCAAGATTATATATCAAACTGTATCTAGATGTTGCAGTGAATTGTAAAAGAAACTGAAAGTAATGTAAATCCTGTCATCATTGACAGCATCTTCAGCTTCGAGAAGACATTTAATGATATATAATCTTGTTCTTTCAGTCGAAACGCTTAAGCTATGAAGGGAGACAACTGCTAGAGTCCATGCAGAATGATCTTTGGGACATGGATCTCCAAATTATTCGAGAAAGTGGCCATTGCAACAACGATGTCAGAAGAGAGGTTCTGCCTGTACAGAGCTGCTTGCCACATCCTGATGGCCCACCCATGACCTCTAACACATCTGTTGCATACAAAAACTGGAATTCCAAAGTTTCTGATGCTGCCAATGATGAAGGTGTCAATATGACGATGACATCTTCAACAATATCTGCTTCAACAGCTGTCAGACTGTCAAGGAAGAGAATTGCCACCATTAAGAGACAGACCTTTTGCTCCAGGAAAGTGCTGAAGAGACCTGTGTCAGCTCCCTGCCTTTTCAAACTGGCAAAGAAAAGAAAGGGTATGATGGCTGTTTCCAATACAAGCATTGTTTCTACCTCCACAGACAAGCCTGACACAGCTGGAAACCAGGTTCTGGTAAGGCCAACAAAGAAGGAGACAGTGGAAACTGAAACAAGCCAGAAGTCTTCTCATGACACTGGGTCTGTCATCCATGTCCATCTGAAACAGAAGAAGAAGGTCCATTCTACTGCAATCAGCGCAAGCAACATTTCTCACAGCACCTTTAGGAAGTCTGAAAACACAATGCCTGCAATGCATGTAAAGCTGTCAAAGAGAAAGAAAGTGCCTTCTGCTACCAATTCAAGCTACATTTCTTCTGAAGGCATGTTGGAAAATCTGGAATCCACAATGAATTCAAACCAAGTCAGTTTGACACAGAATGAGGCCAATCCTACTGCAGCCAATGCGAGCCACATCTTTTCTCAGTGCACTTTTAGAAAGACAGATCACACAATGCCAGCAGCCCAGGTAAAGCTGATGCAGGAAGAATCTTTGACTGTCCCTACCAACGCTAGTCAGAATTTCTGCTCAAGTGATGAACTGGAGAAGAAGTCATCTTATTCATCTGCCAGTCAGGTCAAACTGACAGGGAAGCTTTCAACTGACAGCAACTCCTATGAGATCATGGGGAGAGCTAAACCATCAACTCTGTTGACTCCGCAATCCTCAAAGATGTCTTCTGCCAATTTCAGCATCCCAGGATTCCCTCCTACCTCTGGTGTGGGGATAGCCACACTTTGACCCCTGTAACCATGACTGATGCAGCTGTGTGGAATGGAACAGCCCTGAAAACTCAGGTTTGTGCTGTATACTATCCACTTGTGTGTTATACAATTCTTGAATTACAACCAGTAGTGACATGGTATAGTATACATTCTGTACTGATGTATAATAGATAATTCTGTAGGAATTTTATAGGATCTAATAGCGTTCACCCAAGTAAAGGTTCTGGATAGAATTCTCGTTCAGCAACCCATGCCTTTTGTAAGAGGTGACTAATAGGTGGTCAGGATCTTTGACTTTGTTGTTGTACATCTTTTTTGTCTTTTTTGTATGGTACTTGTTGGTCCCTGCCTGGCGCTTGGCATTAATGGGTACAACAAGGACTGGTCGGCTCAGAGTCAGTATAATGTGTCTGAGTGGGGTATTCATGCTTCACTGCGTCATGGTATCTCAGTGGGCTAGCACTATAAACCAGTTTCAGTCTGGGCTAGTACAAGCAACCGCACATACACATACACATGCATGCACGTCATCATATGAGCGAAATATTCTCAAGCAAGACATCAAACCCAATTTCACCTCACCTCATCTTTTTGTCCCTCTTGCTTTAGATTGATGCTCATGATGTCAATCACTGGTTCAGACTCAATTATTTAGTTCAGCTTTAAGCAACAAGCAAAATAGCAAACAACATTGACGAAACGATGTTACATAACACAAAATGTGATAGATGGAAATCTTCCCTTAGTGCTGTTCCTAACATGTTACCTTTGTCATTTGTATGGACAGGAGTTGTATATTTACTGTACCACTGTGAATCTCAAAGTTAATCAATGATAGTTGTGTTCCAGGTGAGGCCCCGTACAGCCCCCACACAGAGATCTGTCACAGCAGGAACATTAACCAGAAGTCACAGAAACATCGGCTTGAAGGAGGCACAGACCATTCTTGAGATCCTTAAGGTAAGACCCAACTTACTATTGTTGTACCAAGACGATACCAGGGCTGGAGACCATGAGTAGCTGAATGTTTATACTATAGCACATGTGTCTTCTTAGTGTACAACATCTTGGAATACATTAAACACATTTTGCACTAATGAACAAATTGTTGTTGTAGATGACTGACTGACTGACTGAGTTTGGTTTTACGCCGCTTTTAGCAATATTCCAGCAACATCACGGCGGGGGACACCAGAAATGGGCTTAACACATTGTGCCCATGTGGGGATTCAAACCCGGGTCTTCGACGTGACGAGCCAACGCTTTAACCACTAGGCTACCCCACCGCCCCTGTTGTAGATGAAATGTTAGAGGATGAGAAGGAGAAACAAGATGTTATGTTTCTTAACATGAAGGATTTCTGTGATTCTAATGCCATGCATTCAACTTTATCTTACCTCACACATACATGTCGTTTTCTGATTGGCTGAGCACTCTTCTAAACTAAACGGCAAAAGAATGTATAGGTGGAGTTTGATGAGTGGTAAACAAAACACAACAAATCAAATTGGCGAAGCGTGTGTATATCGTGAAAGAAGGGTTAATGATCATTATTAGGCCACAAAATGATTGGAATACAGGCAACAGATAACATGTGGGCGCTAGTTGAACAATGGTGGGGTCCAACAACTCATTTTTCAGCGATGTCTTAAGAGCCAGACATGATTGTCAATCATTGTCCAAGTTTACACAACAAACAGAACATGTCTCAATACCGTGTATGACCCCCGGGCATCAATGCATGCCATGACGCCAGCGTCGTCTCATTGATGACGCCAGGCGCCTGATGACGGGTGGTGGGATTCTCTGCCACTCTTCTCTCAGGGCACGTTCCATCTCATCTCGTCACTGGGGTTGTTGACGATTCCTTAACTGTCTGCCCAGATGGTCCCACAGATGCTTTATGGGGTTCATGTCGGGTGAACAGGCAGGCCAAGGGAGAACATCAACATTGTGGCAGTTGAGGAAGTCCTGTGTCAATCTTGCTGTGTGGGGTCTGGCATTGTCATGTTGAAACACTATCCTCTGTGGCTGGTGTCCACAAGAATGGAAGCACAACTGGGCGCAGAACTTGCTCTCTGTACAGCATTCAGGTTCCCTTGCACAATGACCAGGTCAGTCTTCTGTTCCCCACAGATGCCTCCCCAGACCATAACACCTCCCCCCTCGAACAGATGGACCTCTCGGGATGCATGGTGGAGCTAAACGCTTCACCTCTTTGGCGATAAACTTGTTGTCTGCCTTCGTTCTGGAACAACTGGACACGACTCTCGTCAGAAAACAGTACTTTCGGCCATTCTCGCACTTGCCAGATTCGAACTTGCCTCGCCCATTGTACCTTCGGCGTCGATGTTGTGCTGTCAGGAACATTCCTCGGAAGGGACGGTAGGCTCTGATTCCTGTAGCACGAAGTCGCCGGAGTACTGTGCGTTGGCTGATGCGATGTCAAAGCTCTTGCAGCCGTCGCCGTCACCGTGATCGAACCTGTTACGCGTGAGTGAATTGTTCGATTCGGCGATCTTCCTGGGGTGTTGTGACACGTGGTCTTCCCGTTCTGGGTCTGTCTACAGTCCTTCCTGTCTGTCGGTAACGTTGCAGCAGCCTGGATACCGTTAAAGCGTGCACCCGCACCTTCGTGCAATCTGGACCTGTGTTGCCCCCATCTGGTGCATACCAATCGCCCTCTCTCGCTCCTCTCTTGTCAGTCTAAGCATATCGATTGTGTGCTTTTGTCAACTGTGTTGTCAACCCATGGTTTCACCTTATTTATACGCCAATTCGGCACGTGCATCTCCCTCTGCAGCCTTTGCACGTGTTTTACCATTTTCTGGTGCAGCGTGGCACCTCCGGTCATGATGTGTTTGGGAGATGCGATTTTGCATCCTTGTGCTTGGGGACAACTGTCTGAATGCATACTTTCAACCAGCTATCAACACTTTCACAGTAAATTGACTTTTTCCGACCTATACTTTCTTTTGCAGCTTAGTTTATTATTTTCAATGTACCCCACATACAAGTGAGTAACATTTTTTAATGTTACCCGCTGGGAATGCTGAACTGTGGGAATTCATTTGGGACTTTGTGTTAGTAATTCTCTATCTCAAATAATGGAGTGACGTATGATGTACGGAAATTTCCAATGTTTTGCGAATGCAAATCAATGGAAGGGAGATAACTCTAAATTTTCTTGTAGTCTGTCATCAGTATTGGCTAATTGCCTAACTCTGGTACTCCTTATTATGATCCAATACCCGTGCTTCACCAGTTCAAAATTTAATTGAGGTAAGATAAATACCTTGTTCATAGCTCCATCGGGGCCCATGGGTTGATGTACCTGAAGGGCAAGGGAAACACAAACAAAAATAGAGGGTACATCAACCCATGGCCCCCTCAGACCAGTGAACAACTTATATAACAACATAATAAAATATTCTCAAGCAACCAGATTGTGAAACCCATGGCCCCCTCAGACCAGTGAACAACTTATATAACAACATAATAAAATATCCTCAAGCAACCAGATTGTGAAACCCAGAGAACACCTACTGTTTGTGTTGTAGATGCAACGTGACTTTTTGGTGACCTCTATTCGTGGCATCCGGTCAGAACTGGACCTGGGGAAGCAGGAAGACTGCATCTGGCGCAGAAGGATGGATGAGCTTAATACAGGTAGAGAAATCAGTGTTTGATGTTCTTGTGAGGAACCAAGTAATTCCTTTAATACATCCCCTGTGAAGACCTGATTGAGAACAGTCTTCAGCAACCCATGCTTGTCTTACGAGGCAACTAATGGGATCGGGGTGGTAAAACATGCTGACTTGGCTGAGACATGTCATCTTATCCCAACAGCATAAACTGATGCTCTTGATGGCAGTCACTGGATTGTCTGGTCAAAACTTCAATCAATGGAGTATTGCTGTGTACAGTCAAACATCTTTAGAGAAAGTACAAACTGAAATAGAATTTGTTTCAAACCTGAAAAGTTTAGTCACCACACAGAATTGTGACTTCAAACACTTCAGTGAGCCTTACATTGTCAACAATCCATCCAACGTATTCAGTTGCCTTGCTTTAACTCTGCGCTTTCATCTCATCACTTCAGAGTTGCAGCAGATAAAGAGACACCCCAACAGACACCGAGTGGCATCCATTCGGGCCAAGGCCGCGTTCCTGAAAGTGCAGGTAAAGTCGTAATAGAAGAGTTGAATATAAGGAAGAGCACAGAATTTACATTTTAAATTAGAGTAAAACCCATCTAGCCCCACAAATTTGTATGTGTCTTTTTAGAATTCTTAGTTGATCACTGTAATACAGTCTTATGCAAATTGGTCCGTGTAGGCGTTTGTGTTTGAGTGTATAAACTGCTGTTGTTTATAGATCTGTGAAGTCATTCTTGTGGAGGTGAGGGTGAAGGAGGCTGAAATAGGGGTTTAACAGCTTTAGATAGCAAAGTGCTTGCAGTGCCTGCATGTGTGTGTCTGCCGGCTTGTGATGGACAAATGATAGCTTATTCAGACCTACCAAAAAATCTTCCCCACTGTGCAGAAAAACACAGAAAAGTCCACATTAATCGTGGAAATAGCAACATAAACATATTACCTCGCTACTGAAACAGTAAAAACAGCAACTGCAACATTTTTATATCAGCAAACTTTGACCTCTGCTGCGCATGCGTGTTATGATTCACGCCTCTTTCAAGTTTCCAAGCAACCGTGAATTGCCTCGCATAGAAAAAGTATAGAATATGTCAAAATAATTGCTGTCAATCCTTTTTAATACGAATGGAAAGTAAATTAAACAAGTGTGCACACAAGTATGTCGATAAGTGCCAAATAACACAACAGAAATACTTTAAAAAGGGAATGTAACTTTTGTCCCAAGCTGGAAAATGTCAACATGCAGTCAAGACTTCCTCTTCCATGTGCGCATGCACCAAATCCAAGTTGCAGGCTCTTCGTTCTTTTATCCAGTTTTAGCAATTAAAGTTACCGTTTTTACTGTTTCAGTAGCGAGGTATTATGTTTATGTTGCTATTTCCACGATTAAAGTGGGCTATTCAGCGTTTTTCAGCACAGTACGAGAGTTTTCTTTTGTAGGCCTGTTATTGGTACTTCCCAACTGAGATACTCAGTTTGGCAAGACTGAGTAAACTAACTCAGAGCCAACCAGGCCATGTTTTATTCCTGGCAGAGTGCCAGACAGGGCAACAACAAGTAGCATCGTTGATGATCTTTTGGTAGGCGCGTGGATCAAACCTCTAACATTCTGAACTCTGGGCAGGTGCTCTGTCCAATAGACCACAGTGGTGGTTCCATTTTTGTGGAAAGACATTGTCTGTCAGTCCACTCATATGGTTTGTTTTTCTGAGTTTCATGAACCCTTTGCAAAACAACTTGATAACAATTCCTGTTTGTTTCAGATGTCGAATCTTCAACTCTTGGGAAACGTCTACCTCAACAACATGGACAGTGTTATTTCTCACCTGACAGGTGAAATAAGGGGTGTCTCATGCAAGATTATGGCTGCCTCACCTTTTAACATTGATGTCAACATCTCCAGCAGATGTACAAACTATTAAAACCGACAAGGTGTTGGTACATGTATGACAAAAATAACTACCAAGGATTGTTGGTAGCCTATTTCAGTTTTGTTTGTTTTCTGTATGAAACCATGTCATGGATGACTGTTGTTTTATGGAAGACTTTGTAAGATATCTAATTTATTTGTGTACTATTTTTGTTGAGGAAGATAATAAACATTAATCATATAATGTTTTAATTGCTGCATGTCTTTATTTGTAATTTGTTCTCATGCATGTGAAACTGTTGGCAGAACATACTGCTGTTTTTTCCTGTCAGTACTGACCGGCACTTGTGCCCGACGTAGAGACGGTGTTAGAAATGGTCCGGGCACTTCATTGGTGGTTGTAGGATGTGACTACCCATGTATACTGTATCTAGTGGGCAGGCTGTGTGACACTGTGATCATGTCACATTATTCTAATGGCATGGAGCATTCCTTCAGTCAGTGGTTTGCCTGGGTAATTTTTCACTGCTTGTAAAGACCAATCATGAGCTTGTTGAAAGAGTGACTTGGCTCATGCAATCAACCACTGGTTTGGCCAGGCCTTCATTATTTACATTTGGACCTGATATCACTGTGATATTGTTCAGAGGCATAGGCCTAAGGAAACACCACATGCACAACATAATCACACTTTGATAAGGATCACAAAAACTTTACTTAAACATAGATTTATAATTTGAAATTGTATCCATTTAAAACTGGATAAATAATAATATGGTAACCCTTCTTTAGGCAAACAACCACTTTAATCTAACCTTATGCACTTGATACATGGGTAACCATAAAATTGGTTTTCATGGCACCAATCAACCATTTTGCAAATCATGGCACGGGTCATTGACAAGTACACAACACCTGTCAATAGCAGGTATTGGATCCACAAGATGCAGTGACATACTGAAACCTAGGATCCATGCTTACAATAAGCTTAGATATTTAAACCAAATTAGACCCCACATCATAGTTTTCTGTTGAATCAATGATCTGATCCTTAGCAAAGTGTGAATAGTATACTTCAGCTCTTCTGGAGATCTGTGTTAGAATCTTCAGCAACCCATGCTTGTGGGAAGGTGATTAATGGGATCGGGTGGTCAGGCTTGCTGACCTGGTTGACACATGTCATTGTATAGCAATTGTGTAGATCAAAGTTCATGCTATTGATCACTAGATTGTTATTTACAAACTGCCACCATATAGCTTAATAATTGTTGAGTGCAAGGTTAATCACCAAGCAAACAAGACACCTCTACCCTTCACCCCTGATGGTTAAGAGTGAGTGAGTGAGTGAGTTTAGTTTTACGCCGCTTTTAGCAATATTCCAGCAATATCACGGCGGGGGACACCAGAATTGGACTTAACACATTGTGCCCATGTGGGGAATCAAACCCAGGTTTTCGGCATGACCCTTAACCACTAGGCTACCCCACTGCCCCCCTGATGGTTAAGAAGAACAACACAAAAGGTAGAAGGTTTAAATACAATATATTACACATTTATTGCTGATACAAATATCTATAATTCACATAGTCAGTAGGTCACATTGTATGGTCAATCAGTATTCAGCATCACCCAGATTAAAGTTCAGTAATGGGGGCTCTGGGGGACCAAGGTAGACACCATGTTGAAAACCAGCATTAGAAAAGTCACCTCTTTAGTGTATAATAAAACAGTAATGAAAAGTGATAGCTGGTCACGTTCATGAAATAACTTGTTTGGCACTGTTAAAACTTATGAGAAACAAGACTGAAGGATCACCCCCTAACATGATGAATTGTTTATTATTTACATATTTAAAAGTGACATGTTGATGGATTCTGTATGTCAATCACAACACACAGAATGTGCATCAGAAATGGAAGACCATTGGGAAACAGATGTCAGTTTTTGCCAGTCGTGGATGAAATACATCACATAACTACGCGGTTATCTCATGCATCTTACTTCACCAAACAGAGCATTTTCTGGATTTTACAATTTTTTGCAGTATAAACTCACAACTGACGTGTTAAATATCAGAAAAAGTACTTAACTGAGGAAATTAATTTATGCATGACTTCTTGTGATGATATACCTCCCCGAATGTGTTGATAATTATGCAGTAGTTCCTGACTTGGAGAAGAAATAATATCTCTAAGACGTATCTATGGCAACCCACTGTATATGTAGTAAAGTGAGAGAAACTTGCTGCCTTTTCTGTGCCAAATATTAATATAATGTTTACAGGCACCTGGGGATTATTGTTTGACAAATTCAAAGTTGCTCTGATGTTATAGTTATCTGACAGAACACATAAATTGGAATTGTAAATTGGTACTATTCTGTTTTTGTGATTCAAATTATTATGTTTATGTGCTGGGTTTAAAAAATTATATGAAAATAATCCCTCAGAAATAAATGAACATACAAAATAACCCCAAAAAATTGTCCAACCTGTCATAGGTTTCTTTATGTGCAGTGACTAGTGCCAGAATTATCATTGTTTAAATTTGGAAACTGAACAGAAAAATATAGCAGATACTTTTTTAAATATTTTTCAAATCCTCACTGAGAGAAACTGAAATATTGGTAGTGGACAGTTTCGGATGATAAACCCAAATGCCTTAATATGATGTTAGTTCATTCTAGAATAGTAAAAATATCAGTACATTTATAAAATGCTATAATCTGTATATGGTACACTGAAAAGGCAGAGCTAAATGCATTATAATTTGAACAGGGTAAATATTTTTACCACTTTCATAACAAAATGCTGATAACGAAAGATAAATAATTAAAACGGAGGTACAAGTTTGTAGGAATCTGGTGATATTGTACATAGGATGTAACATCTGGTTGATAAAACCACTAAAATCACATAAAACATAAGGTCATTATAACTCAATTCAACACAAAACAGTTGACTGCGGGGGTTTTCAGCTAAGGGCACAATACAAAACGTTTGACCAATGTCAGTCAGTACTGTAGCTCCATATGCAGGACTCTGGACTAACAGTGTATGTTGCATTGTGACCACTGGATACAAACGTCACAACCACTTTTCATTTCTGTACAATTGTTCGTTTCAAAATGATGTTATGATCATGATTATGTTGCTATGAAAATGCAAATGTTGCTATGAGAATGCACTTCTTGTATCCTTGTGTTTGGACTCTTCAATGGCAGCAATTTCATCTTCATCTGTCATAACTGTGACAAGGGAGCCGACAGCCTTCCCAACCTGCCCTGCCATATGAAAGAGGTTACCCACATTGTTGGCACCTGGAACACAAGGGAGATAATCAACAGATGAACCTACATTTCTAACCACTCATAAATTAATTTAAAGGGTTGCGGACCAGTTATCTACCCACACACTAGTCACATTGACAAATCCAGAAAACATTAACTTGTTCAGTTATCCTTTAAATGATGTTTGTCAAACACTGACCAATAACACATGAGGCCTTAGAAACTCAAGATGTGTGAGTTTCAATTTTTTCATGGATGAAAGGAAGGAAATAGCTTTGAAACCTTGATGAAGAAAATGAAATTCATGTATACTGTGTCACTTTGAAGAAACTGTTTCAATAATAAAATTATTTAAATTTTCTTCTTTGCCAAAGGGTTCATCCTGTTTGTTACTTCACTTCCACTTTCATTCACATGATCATACTGAGATTAACGAAAGTGCTGTGAAAATCTTTTGAGTAGTATAAATACAGAAAAGTTAAATAATATTTAAGCTATATCTTACCTTTTGACCTGTCTGTATTAAAAGATGCATTTGGTTCCCCTGAGAAATCACATAGCTCTTCATCACGACTTGTACCTGACAGACAGATGCACAAAATTAGACAAAATACAACACAAGGGGAACAACTCTAGTAAACCAAATATCCTATCCTCTGCAAACATCATTGTTGACAATATGTCTATGATGTACAGTAAAATGTCTTCTAGTTTTACACTGGTAGCTTTGAAACAGTGAATAATACATCAATGTCGAGCAAGGTGTACTATGTTTAACCAATGGGTGCCCTCACCAGCCTTGGGTTTGTATTGTGTCAAAGTTTAGATTTTCACTAAGGTAACAAAGAACTGGAAGAAAGATTTCACAGACACCCAAATGGTTTTGAATGACTTGGAGTATATTTGCTAACAATACCAATAGGTCAGAGCCTAGCCCCCACTAAATTCATACCACTGAATAGGTTGAAGTATGGAGATTGAAAGAAGACTGGCTGGTTATTATTCTTTAGTACTCTGTAAGTTGTGCACATCTTACCAGCTGCATATCCATTGCCATTTATTATCCTCGGTGTGGACTCGAGCTGGGGATTGAACCTGTATCGTGGGGGCCCCAGGCAGAGAGCTGATAGAAGAGGAGGGCGTGGTCATTGGGGTTGTCCGTGACGATGAATTGAGTGACAGCGGTGTGCGGGGTTCTCCTGGAGGCTGTTGGAACAAGACATCCTCAATTAGTCTTCAACTCTTAATTAATGATGCTGCTTTAACAGGTGCCCTCAAGAACAATCCTATGATTCCATGATACAGCTGATTATTTTGTGATATTTACAGTAATTAATGTTATGAAATATGACTCTATTCTGTACATCAGTATATCATTAATACACATAACCAGGGCCTAGATTTTCGAAGCTCTCTTAGCGTTAAGATAGTCGTAAGTTAATGTTAATGTATGGCACTTACGACTATCTTAGCGCTAAGAGAGATTCGAAAATCTGGGCCCTGGATGATAGTGTGGTATATAATTGACTTGGATAGTTGTTTAAAGTGTATTGAGAACAGCAACCTTCAAGACCGATTTTGTATTGCACTTTGTTGATAAAGCCTCTCTTAGGGCTATATTTGGGTGTGTTTTGTTGAGCTGACTGATTGTGTAAACTGTTCATCCCAACAACGGATTGGGCTGAAATGGGTCTCACAGTGACCTAGGTTCACACTTACCAGCAATGGTGGAGACTTTAACCAAATACTTGGCTTACAAAAGAGGAATAATCCAAAATGTGAATCTTGAAAATGTATGAAGAGTGTATCAAACTGACAAATCAAGGGGAGATAACTGACCTGGTCGAGCAGTTGTCGTAGACGGTGTAGCTGTGCTTCTAGTTGATGGTTGTGGTCTTCTAGTATCCTCATTCTTGCCTCCAGACGACCCTTGTGTTGGCGTAGCAACTTTGCCTCTGCAATCATCTCCTCATCCCTACTTGTGTTGCTGTCACCATCTTCCGACCGTGCCATACTCCCCCTCGTGGGCATTGTTGGCCTGGCGCAGACGGTCATATTCAACCTGTAATGTTCTGCAACGGAAACCCGGTTTTGTAAGATGCAGTAGGGAAAAACTGAATTTATGAAATGTGAACCAACATGAATAAACTGAAACATCATCAATTTACTTTTCATATCTGCTATTAAAATTATCCAAGATTAAAAGATATTGTATCAGGCATAAATTCCTAATGCAGTTCTGAAAATTCAGCCAAAACCACCAAGCAGACATCTAACATTCTGGACTTTTTTAACTTTGTGGTTTGTAGTTACACTTGTGGAGGGGACAGTTTCTTGTGGACCATGAAACATTGTGTGTATGATTCTTGTTTGTTGTTTAGCCCCACACTCAGCATATGTGTGTATGAAACAATCAGTACAGATCTACATTATATTGTGGAGAGCGGAAGGTCGCGGGTTTGATCCCCGACTGCGTCATACCAAAAGACGCTAAAATATGGTACTTGTTGGTCCCTGCCTGGCGCTCAGCATTAATGGGTACAACAAGGACTGGTCGGCTCAGAGTGTCTGAGTGGGGTATTCATGCTTCACTGCAGCATGGTCTCTCAGTGGGCTAGCACTATAAAACCAGCTTCTGGGCTAGTACAAGCAGCCGCACATACCCATACACACGCATGCACGTCGTCATATGAGCGAAATATTCTCAAGTACGACGTAAAACCCAATTTCACCTCACCTCACATTATATTGCCATTCCTACCTGTTCTCTTCTTCTAGATCTTTGATTAATGTTTCCAGCTCAGACTTCTGGTCAGAATCCACCGCCATCATGATCTGCATTGGACTCTTCAACTGTAAGATAAACACCAACCTGTAGGCAGTGTTGTAAACTCCCCAAAATTTCGGCCAGACAACTGGTCTGGTAACTCTCAAAAGTTACCAGACCGGCTGGAAAGTTACCAGTCCAGAATTTTCAGGATTAAGATAAAATATAGAGGAGGTAAATAGGAGGAGGGAACTGTTTAATGTCAGGTTATTGTCACAATAACACGTTTTTAAATGTTTTCAGTCATTATATACATTACAAAATTACGCTGATTCAACAGCCAGACCATCGGGCGTGCAACTTTTTAAAACTGACCGTCCGGTCGCAAAACAGACCGTCCCGGACGGTCGGGCAGGCGGGAGTTTGCAACGCTGCTGTAGGCAAGTAGCATCACAATGGACTCATCGTACAAGTACTACTACAACATGTCCATACTTGTACTAATTGTATGAAATTGTACAAATCACCTAACATATTATGAAAAAATATCAATGTTATTATATCTGAAGTTTTCAAAGTTTTCAAAAAGGCTACAGCACAAACAAAGATTAACTTGAGCAAATGAAAGCTAATCAGGGGAGATAACACCCAGCATGACTGCTTCCTCAGTGTGCCATCATTAATCAAATCCAGATTCTGCCATGATAATTCAAACTTTAACCAAAACCTTGGCCTAAATTACCAATCAATTTGCCAGCAGAAAAATGGAGCTGATGTATCTGGTGCATGGTGTGAAACCTTGGCAGAGAGGGTCAGGTGAGTGCGATAAGCTGGCACATGATCAACAACCATCAAAATGCCACTTAACTCTTGAAGTACGTCATCAAGTATATCTCAAAAGATAAAACCTGATTTAAGTAGGCTGGATTCAGCCTCAAAACATTGAAAAAACAACACTGTTTTAGTATTTGACAACAGGTTGCAAGGTAGGGCAGAAACTTGTAAGAATACAAGAGCCTGTATAGACATAGTACTCTGTACAAAAAGTCTCAAAATATTTGATATAATTTAGATAACTGATACTACTTTCCCAATCATTACCGGTTTCCAACATCTACCACCTGCTGCTCACCTGCTCATGCTGATAATTGCCCTCATTCGGCCCTTACTGACCCCCCATAAACACATACTCCAATCTTAGCTGCTGTTATGACTCTGATACACACTGATTGCATATCCGTCCTTCCCACATCAGTTGTGTAATGATGAAGTTCTCACCCAACTCCAGCTGATCCCATGGCCCTTCTTTATCCAGACGATCAGTGTAACACAGAACCTTTGACAAACCTTATGTCAATCTCACAACTCACCCTACACACCATTACCTTTACCCCTCAGGTGGTAGACACTTCACTCTCACAAACCTCACACACCCTCTACACCCATACCCCCACCCCCTTACCACCCACTGGTGTAGCACTGCATCACACTAACCTCACCTTCATCCAACATCACACACCCTCTACACTCATACCCCCACCCCCTTACCACCCACTGGTGTAGCACTGCATCACACTAACCTCACCTTCATCCAACATCACACACCCTCTACACTCATACCCCCACCCCTTACCACCCACTGGTGGTGTAGCACTGCATCACACTAACCTCACCTTCATCCACACATCACACACCCACTAACCTCACCTTCACCATCTACACTCATACCCCCACCCCTTACCACCCACTGGTGTAGCACTGCATCACACTACCCTCACCTTCATCCAACACCTCTCTCCCCTACACCCATACCCTCACCCAATTACCACCCACATGCATCTGACTAACCTCACCTTCATCCATCACCCCTCTCTCCTACACTCATACCCATAGGCGGATCTAGAGGAGGATGCAGGGTTGCCCACCCCTCTTTTGTCCTGAAAGTTTATTAAATGACCACTGAAACTCTCATGGAAATGGGTGGAAATGAACTGTGCACACCCCGCACAACCCCCCTCTCAAAAAGCTGTATCCGCCCCTTATAACCTTGACCCCACCCCACACCAGCTCACTCTCTTTCCTCCAATCTCACCCAGCTGTTTAGAACACTGATACTCCAATATCGTGATATCCCACTGATTCCATCCATGAATGTATCTGCAGCCCGCTCCGTGAACCACACCTGTCTACACAGCCTATCTCAAACTGCATCACCCACAGTTTACTTAATACCATCTCAATATCTATTCAATAATACTCTACAGTTCCTGTTGGAAAGGTCACTTGTTAGTTCGGTTATTTTCGAACATTAATCTCCATGTGATGTGGAATTGTATCAACAAACCTCTCATTAAAGGCTCATCCTCCATCATACTACCTGTATCTACAATCAAATTGTCCCTAGAGCAAATGTCACGAGATTCTTGATAATGTCTCTGAGAGCATCAGTGAGTTGCCTCAGCTAAATGAGATGAATAAATACCAGATTCGCATAAGTCAACAAACTGGAGATGGAAGGCCAAACTGCATAGTTAAAAGGTTCAAAGCCACTGTATCTTACACTCTCGTGAACAAACAAACATGAGGCAGATCATTCAACAGAATCTGCACCAGCTTCTGCCTCAAAAAAAAGAAAAAAAACACAAAAAAAACCCCCCAAAATGAGTGTGTTCACAATGTGTATTAGAGCTGCAATATCAAACCTTACAGTACATTCAGCATGTCACTGCTTCGGGACACAGGAGCCAAATAATATTCATGAGAGGCACAACACATTTATTATTCAATCTTATTTCAAATACTCTGTTTTCTGGAGCAATTTCGATTTCAACACAGCATGAATCATGTTTAGATTTGAAGATCTGTATCTCTATAAAGAGCAGAGTGGTATACAGCCATTGAGATTAGGGCTGGGACGGTTCCAAATTTTCTACCCGGGTACCCCACCCCCTATTACCCTACCTTACCCGGATACCCATTTTGTCAATTCCTGACATCAAATTTGTAAGAAATGGCAATATCTTAATCATGTATTATATTCAAAACAGGTGACTGTAAATAATTTCTAAATGTTCAAAGACAATACAACCTTTCAATCTTGAAAGAAGAACATATTACATTGTTTAATCTATTAGTCACATGATCATAACGGGTCTGGGTATTGAGATGGGTACCCGGGTCCAACTCATTACCCACCCGTCCCGGGGATCTGGGTCACCTGTCCCAGCCCTAATTGAAATTATTTTATTATTTAGACAAGTGTAACCTGATTTCTCTAGTCTTCAGAGTTTTTTGTTATTCCTGCTTGAACAAAACAACCATGTACACTATGATTGCACTTCTGTCAGCTTTATTCAGTGCTTGATTGTAGTAAAATCAAACAGTAAGTATTACCTTTAAATGCCACTAGTTGACAATAACTACCAACATTTTACTGATCCTCAGTTTCAGGCTAGAGTACTCATGAATAAGGGGCGGTGGGGTAGCCTAGTAATTAAAACGTCTGCTTGTCACGCTGAAGACCCCGGGTTCGATTCCCCACATGGTGTACAATGTGTGAAGCCCATTTTCTGGTGTCCCCTGCCGTGATATAGCTGGAATATTGCTGAAAGCGGCATAAAACTAAACTCACTCACTCACACACTAAAAAATGATGAAGTGTACAGATAACTGTAGGTACTCACAGCATGTGTGGTTGTGTCCCCATTAAGACTCTGGCAGTACTGGGCAATCAGGTTGTGCTCGTCCTCCCTGTACAACAACAAACACGTGTCAGTCACCACGACACAACAAACAACACCTTCCCTGGTGGAACTCCTACACACACTCGCCTGTCTAGTCACGTGTATTGTGTGGAGGTAACAGATCCCAGTCGTAATAACTGGGATCAATTAGGGCTGAAATAAACATACTGAGTACAAATGTGAAATTAGTTAGGATCAAGGTTACCTCATACACAGCAATAGCTTTGCAGAAGTATAGCTGCAATATTATATCTATACCATGAGTGCCACTCATAAATATCCCATATTACAATACTGTACTACCTGGTCAGCACATCTAACCTAGAGAGTACAGCCAGCATTCCTATGGCTAACGTCAATGTCAGGATGATTCATTGTTTTCAGTACATCTCAAACTGACCTGACATTCTCGCTGTTAACACCAATAACTTGTTTATTATACAACCCTCAGTACAACAACATCCAATACTGAGCAAAATAAGGCCATCAACATTTGCCTAACATACACATTCAGACCTTAAAACATGGGAAAAAGAATGATTCTTAAGAAATAACCATGGCAACACATCCCCGTCTTCCTCAGCTGAAACACACCACTCACATCTTGGAATAATATTTGAAAAATAATTCTAGGATTGATCTCTCTTAAACAGAACATTATAAAATAATTTCATAACCTACAGCTAATCTTACCATCCAATATGGGAATTTGTCCACGACATACACTAAAACCTGCTAGTAAATCAATGGCCTGGTATGTCCGGGGGTGATATTAAACACCTAACCCACAATCACCACTGGAAGCAGGACAAGATAATGGCTGCAGTGTCTGGCACGGGATGAACATTAAACCCATACCACCAAAACTGGCACTTAATCCTGTTTTATGCTGATCATTTAAGAAAAGCTTCAGCTTGTAGCCTATCTTATGTTCTCACAAGTCCTACAGCCATAACTGAGATCCAGGAATAATACCATTATGAGCAGCACCAAGTCCTGTAGACATGAAAGATAAACCCTTATTGTTGTACCCAGGCCAGAACACCTATCTATAGGGAAAACTTTAAAAAAAACGTAACCTTCCTAAAAACTTAGCTGTATTCAATTAACAGCATGTAAAAGATGGGGAGATGACAACCCTGATACAGCTAATATTTGGGAATTGAATTAAAAATGTGAGCAAGTGTAGAGGCAAGATAGAGTTAAGCAGGAATGGCCGGATAAGAAGGGCAGTAAACTACATCTTCTGATAAAGCAGAGCTATATTTGATCTATCACTTATAACAGACAAAGTCATGGCACAACACAGGTAATTGTAAAAATTGTATAAAGTCTACAAGCAACTTACGACTCAGGTGTGGACGATGCTTGTCTCTGCTCCACCTCTGCCAATCTGAAGAGAAAACCCCCATCAGTGAAGCTAGTAATATCTCTGTATATACACACACTAGTGACTCACTGGGAGACTGGAGGCACCGCCTGGCCACACACGCTCCAAACAGTCATCTATATACATATATACAATTACACATTCATCTTTAGAATATCATATTGTCAGTAACAGAAAAGGTAGAATTTTCAAGGAGTCTCATGTTTGTTTAAGATAATTTATGAAAACCTCATCATTTCAAAGTTTTGCAGAATATTTTCAAAAACCATCTTTTGTGTCATATCATAAAATTAGCATCAAGATTGGTGATTTTGATTTTCTCCGAAGCTTAACAGTTCCTATTTCTAGTTCCTCACACACTGAAGATTATGGCACCATCAGCACACTCCTAGTTTCATTGATTATCAATTCCTGTCAATTTGCAGACAAATTCACCAATTTTCATTTTACATGCAAAATGAACATATTTCCCACAAGGAAAATGGTAAAGTTCACAGTGACCTGCTAGAAGGCTACCTCCATTAAAGTAACCTGGAACAGTAGCTTTTTCTAGATTCCCATGTGCTTGCATCCTTGCATCCTTGAATTATAATCTCATAAAATCCTTCCACAACCTACTCACCTGTTTGCATAGAGCTCCAGCCGAGAGTGCATATCTTGAGAAATACTATGCTGGGGGGAGGGAGAAGGACTGAAATAAACAATCAAATATGTTACCATGGTAACAGCACAATCTCGTTGGCTAAAAAAGCAAGCTTCCATAAAAAGTGAAATTCAATTTTGGCCCTCCACTGCATTATAAGAAAAGGTGTCAATATTGAAAAATCTACATGATATAAAAAACACTGCATGAAATTGATTTCAATGATTACTAAATGAATGAAAAAACTGCCAAATAAATCACACAGAATTGAATACCGTAAGAAGATATAAAAGTTTCAGGTTTAAGGTTTGATTTTTTGTAATGCCACACTCAGCTATATGCCACCTATCTGATGGTGGTCTGTGAATAAGACTTGACATAATCTGTGACTGACATCATGAGCATTACCCAATGCAAGCATCAACCAAGTCAGAGATTCTGGCCAACTTGTCCTCAGTTTGGGGAGGGCGGTGGGGTAGCCTAGTGGTCAAAGCATTGGCTCGTCACGCCGAAGACCCGGGTTCGAATCCCCACATGGGTACAATGTGTGAAGCCCATTTCTGGTGTCCCCCGCCGTGATGTTGCTGGAATATTGCTAAAAGCGGCATAAAACCAAACTCAGTCAGTCAGTCAGTTTGGGGAAGACACTGATCAGTACAGGGTTTGAAACTTCTTAAACATTTCTAACAATAACGTTGGAGTCAATCAACATACTTATCCAAACAACTTTCCTCATCTGCAAATTTAAGTAAGTTAATGTTAAAATGGACTGAAGGTGCACCAGTTCACAAAATGGCCCTAAGACAAGACTGCGAAAAGCATCAAACATGGAGACAGCCACCACGAAAATAACTCTCTGCTTGAATCCCCATCCATGTAGAATTGAAACTTGTTGTCTGTCTAGTCATGCTGCCTTTAGCTATGTTCTGAAGACTTGAACCAAGAGGACAAACAGTTCTCTCTCCGCAAGACAAAACAAACACATCTCCACTAGATAATTGGTTTTAACATCTCCACATATGATATTCATAACTATCACACAATTCAACTCCAAGCACTTCCCAGAGGAAAATACCACATGCAACCTAATTACCCCATTCAAAATACATGGAATCTCTTACGAGTTTGATGCTCCTGGTTAGAACATTTGAAGTTTTCAGACCAATTTCTCAGATATTGATCAAAATATTTTTAGCTATCAAATCCTTCTGAGCAGATTACAAGATTAGTTTTAGACAAGTTTTAAACAACTGTTTCCTTGATTACATTCAAAACAGCCACAGTTTCTTCTTCACAACAAGAATTCCCAATCAGACAAGAAATCTTCAAACCTTTTGAAAAATACACTTGCCAGAATGTGGATTATAATTTCGAAATCATCAATGCCTTAGAACTATTTGTGGGAGACTTTGGCCATTATCATGCAGGATAATTATACAGCAGCTCAACTACAGGCTAGCCAAAGATGTTTTTAAAGGTTCAATATTCTTGCACATAAAATTTGAGTCAGAACCACAAATATGTCTTACCTCACCACTGAAGATTCAGTAAGCCTCTGCACGTAAAAATCAGTAGTATTTTGCGAATGGTCTAATAGCCCATAAGATATTGGATGAAACTGATATGATATGGACAGTGAAAATTGTTGGTTTTATCACAACGTACATCTGTTGATCTGTGTTAACGACAGGATGTGAACAGCTAGTTACAAGACTGAAGGCAACTACCTAACCTTGGCGCTACTTCTTACACTCATTGCCATCAGAGAGTATGTGGGCATAGGTTCCTGGTACTTGAAAAGCACTCTCGGAATCAGAATAACAATCTTTAGGACAGCAGTATCATAACTCCTTCAGCATGGAAACATAAAAATCCATTCCACAGAATAATCAGTATCAATTTTCCAATGAAACAGATTCCATTGGGCATAAGCGATGAAACCACTAGAAATGCCAAACTTTCAGAATGAAGATAATATGACAGAAGTGTTCTAAAAATCATTGTAAGAGTGCCAATAACTAACACAATGAATATTTCTTCCTTCCCTTGTTGTTGGTTTGAACAATGAAGACATCAAGTCCATCAGGTTCAAACATTTTGATAATTTAATAAGTCACTTGATCATTTCTTAACATATACATTAACTTGATGCCAACTTTTCGGTTGGTGTATACATATTAAAGGTGAAATTATGTTCATCACAGTATAAGACATTTGGTCAAGATTTAAAAACTGAAACAACTTAAGGTTACTGTTTTAACCACAAAATGTTTTTTACTTACATGCAATATCTGAAATGATTAATCTTAAAGACGGGGCCTGATAGTTCATTAAACAGTGACACATACAAACAAAGTGACTTTGATTTTCAATGAAATTGTTTCAGATAAAAATGAATTGTGGCCAAAACAAACAAAAAAATATCCAAAGAAAGAAAATTACAATGACATGCTTACCCCTTTAAATTTCCCATGTCAGAGTTGTATTCAGCTAGCAATCCAGTGACTGTCTAGGGAGCTTGGCACTTTAATGTCTCACACACTAGCAGCAGTATCTTGCCATCAAACTCTAATAATCAAGTCGATAATAAGAGGTAACCCAAGTAAGGCAAATACCGGAAAACTGACAGATTACCACTTCTATTGGTACAAATCCTTGCTGTTATTCAAAACACTGAAAACTGAATCAAGACTTGACATGCCAAGCATGGTGCAACAATGTCCATCTTGACCACAATGGAGTGAAGCTGGAGATCTACATCACCAAGCTCTGACCCAATCACGTCTGGTCCAATGTGTTATTAAAAGTGCCTTGGACAGGTCCAGTCGATACACCCGACAGCTGATTACAAAAACACGAGGCGGCTGCAGAACGTAACACTGTCCGATATTTCCTTGGGTCTATCACATGTCCGTTTCCCTCTTTGATATATCAACACATGAGACAATATACCGATTCCAAAATTCCTGATATTGTCATGGCTGGCTGGCACAACTCCTGGGTGCAGTGAGATAACACCTACCAGCAGACTGCAGAAAGCCGTAACAGCAGGCAGTGGACCGACAGGCAAGGTCGGAAAAACCCTGCCCAACCCGTTCAATCAATACACAAATGAAGTTAAAGTAGCTGTACTGCGCAGTCGTTATGCTAAGCCAATCAAGGAATTGCAATCTTCAGATGGCGCACATACAATATGAAATCCCAATTGCTGACAAAATAAAATTGGAGCTTATGTAAAAAGATCTGGTCTGTCAAGCACTCCTGGAATGGTTCATGTAAGATGAAAATGGTTTTGTGACTGGCGTCTTCTGGAGAATATCGACTCCACGTGTCTGATTGAAATAGTTCCGTAATCAATAGGCATTCTGTGTTCAATCTCATTTCTATATCTGGCTGATGTTTTCTTCTGTTAATTCTGCCATTTAAAGTCATAAACAGTCTTTGAGAGCTTCAAATTTTGAATTCAAATAGACACTGAAACTGTAGACAAATGACTTACAATTCCCAGCCCAATTCATTGCCTTCATGATTGTGAATTTTATCCAAAATTTTGTATTATGATTTCCATTCATGACTTTTTCATGGAGTGAAAGCTGGATATTCATGATGCTCTATTTCTAAAATTCTCCTTCACAAAACTGTGACCCAATGATTATACCCTCAATGACACTGTAGATCAATAACATAATGCCTTGTAACAGTCCTTGCTTAAGAGTGAGTGAGTGAGGGATAGTTTTACGCCGCTTTTAGCAATATTCCAGCAATGTCATGGTAGGGGACACCAGAAATGGGCTTCACACATCTTACCCATGTGTGGATTCACACACGGGTAAGAGCGTGACGAGCGAACGCTTTAACCACTAGGCTACCCCACCGCCCCCTCCTTGCCTAAGACTGACTGACTGACTGAGTTTAGTTTTACGCCGCTTTTAGCAATATTCCAGCAACATCATGGTAGGGGACACCAGAAATGGGCTTCAGACATTGTACCCATGTGGGGATTCGAACCCGGGTCCTCGGCGTGAGGAGCCAACACATTAACCACAAGCTTAAAACTACCCCACCACCCCCCTTGCCTAAGAAACACCATGCATAACATGCTATCTAATCCAAACTGAAAGACCTAGATATCGTGTAGAGTAGTTCACATAAAATACATAAATATATACTCCCTTAAGCATCACCTGTCAAAAACAAAAAGGACAGAAGTAATACATGGCAAGTCCGTAATCCTGGAGGTGTTTAGAATAGATTGATGTACTGCACATCGTGGTAGTTTGGATGTTCTGTACAGGAGGACTTGTACGTTCTCTGAACTCAACTCCTTCTTGTGTTAATCAATATAAAGATTCACTTTTTAAGCTGAAACAAACTAAATTCTCACAGCAACTAGACAGTGCTAACAACCTGCAACACCCTTGCAGACCACTCCTCATCAAATATTAATAGTTTACAAGCCTTCCACTTGGATAATCTATTAACCATCCAAAACAGAGACATATTTCACGTATGACATATACACTTTCCCTCTAATGGATAGAGCTTCCTAGGTTCGTTGTGAATATTTATATAATGTCTCCTGTGGGCAAGCTGATTCATCAGTACCATCAGAAACAGGTCAATACAATAATACAGGAAGGAATCCAAGTTGAAAAGCTCATCCGAGCATCAATTTGTTAAAAGCAAGCGCAGAAAATACACAATAAACCTGTTTGATGTGCCGTGCCAACCTGTCAAGCAGATAATGTGCAAGTCAGAAAGTCGTCATTGACATGCCATTAGACAACCTCTTAGAACAAGACTTTCATAGTCGTAAAAATAATGAGCCCTTGTGTCAACTGTTGACAGAGCATCTGCCCGGACTTACAGTGGGATCAGTTCGTTCTGACTATCACTTGATGTGCGGTACTGTAATGGTTGCTCTCATCACGTACATTCAAGTGGAGAGTTTACTGAGGTGATGGTGACTGTCTGGCTAGTTCACAGGCAATGACATTTGTCCTTACAAAGCCATGAAAATGTTAAGACATACATTATTCATCTCACTT